CAAGACGTGACCCAAAAAATGTGAAATATTATTAGATTAATCGAAAAAGTAAAGATGTAACATAATAATCTGTAGCTGGCTGAAGACGTGGGTGAACTAGCATCGATAAGGCGGGGGCCTACGTGGTTTGGCTTGAATCTTCTGCTTCCACTGGCCTCGATCGATCAGGACCCCCACTTGGCGGTATGCGGCGTACAGTAGCTGGTGGAGAGTATGTGACTGTTCCGGAGGGGTAGAGAGACCCTTTTTTTGGAAGCTGAACACGAAACCCAAGTTGTCCCCCTCCTTGCCGCCAGGAAGAAACTTGTAGGCGTGCCACGAGGCGCATCTTCGCTTGGTGAGTGGTGGGAGGCGGCCTCAACGTCAACGAGTGGGGAATGTGATTGCTTCTGCTGCTTGCTTATGTGATGCTATGCGATGGGAGAGACTATTTATTTCTTATCAAGGCTGCTTATGAAGCATGCGAAGCGTTACAAGGCGGACATGAGATGCAACGGGCTACTGCTATCTGGGCACCCTACCAGTGTTTCTCGGATATGTCGACCTCGTTGACGTCCACTCCGTCCTTGAACCACCTTTCCTCGTCGCTGATCTTGACATCATTCCCGCTCATCTGGCGCTTCCTCATCAGGCCGTTGTCGGCAAATGTCCAGTCCTCGAGGCCGTAGGTACGCCACCACTGGCCCGACTCATCGTGCCACTCGTACCAGAACTGAACGGCAATCTGGAAATGACCCGCGGTAAGCCGGTGCTCATTGCATTGGGGGGAAAGGGATACCGGGCCGCGTCCTTGGCCCGGTACTGGCGTTTTCGGAGCCCGTCTACATACCTTGTTGTCGGTGAATGCAAATAACTCTTTGCGGAGCCGGTATCCGTTCTCCTTCTCCCACTTCTTGGAGAGGAATGCCTCAATGGCATCGCGACCTTGGAGGAACTGGTCGCGGTTTCGCCAGATGGAGTCTGGCGTGTACGCCATCTTCACGGCACTTGGGTTTCTTTGAGAAAATTTCCATCAGAATTACGTCCTTGATGGTTGAAAAAGGCAGGTGAGTCACGTAGACTCTGCGAGCTTACCTGGTGTTCCATCCATCTTGAGCAGACTTGACCTTGATCTTGGCCGTCTCGGCATTGAATGGGGGGAATGGAGGGCGTCCTTCGTTTGACATGGTGAGATTGGCTATGCTATGCTTTTTTCTGCGGAATGAGGATGGATTTTTCTTGATGAGCGCATGGAGGGTGAGATGCTGTTTTATCGGGTCGTTCGGAGGGCGCGCGGCGACAGAGGCGCGATGCCTGTCCTTGGTTGCGGGGTAGCATGTCAGACAGCCTCTTACCAATGGATTGCCAATGCATCTTTAAAATTAAGAGACGGCCATATAAATAGAGTTTGAATGCTCTTAGCAATGGCTTTATGTGATCGCGGCTTCACTTCGCCGAAGAAGGCCGAGTTACTTCCGGCACACTGCCGCTATGAGCATGGAGCGGTGAGAAGCTGACGAGAGAGTCGCGATTGCTACGGAGGCTGAGACAGCTCCAAGAATTGACTCCTGCAAATAGAGTCGTTGGCATGATTGTAAAGAATTACTTTGCAGTCACATATTAGTTGCCGGGACGAATTTAGAGCGATCCAAGGGGAGCATTTGGCTATATATTAAATCTACCCTCGAAACGGAAGACAACCACATCAACGACAACACCAACAACGGAAGGGCAATGTAAAACCCCATCGCCTCACCTAGCCTCCCTTCCAAGGCCCAACCCCGAAGGACAAACCTAGCAGCTCGTGGTAAACCCAGAGGTCGTGCAGTAGGTCCCGTCGGGCCCCGACCCGATCTTGGAGGGCTCGGCGCCGCTCGCGTTCCCCGTGTACCGGTCGCACGACTTGTTGTTGTTCTGGCACGAGTTGACGATCTTGCAGGTGTCGCCGTAGTTGGTGTTGATGCCGCAGAGGACGCCGCCGTCGACGGCGACCGAGTCCTCGACGATGATGTTGCGGGCCTTGCCGTTGTTGGAGCAGTTGCCGCAGCTGCGCGAGACCTTGCCGTAGTCGTTGGCGTAGAAGCCCTTGACGTGGATGGTGCCGAAGCCGTTGAACTGGAAGATCTTGTCGTCGGCCTTGAAGGCGCCGCCGCCGTTGATGTACGAGGTGCCGGAGCTCTGCTTGAAGGTGGCGGCGTCCTCGCAGACGTCTGCCCACCAGACGTTGTTGAGGGTGCTGCCGAGGAGGAGGTGTTAGAGGGGGGTCATCTCCCACAGAGTAGAGGGTATGTGGTAGGATTCGTACCAAGTGCCTTTGCAGTGAACACCCTCGGCTTGGCTGGCGCCAATAATGACATTGGAGAGAGTCGCTCCGCTCTCCAGGATGAACATGGCATCCGCCTCGCCTGTCTCTGTCTGTCCCTGGCAAACGGAAGCTGTTCATACAGTCAGCAACCTGTTCGGGCTTACTCGGAGATGGACTGGGATACTCACGGCTGCGTTCAAAGCGCTTCATGCCTCCATCGTAGGAGCCGCTCACGGGGATGGCGGTCGGGTAGGATGCAGATCCGGACGACTTGGGGAGGGTAGTCGTCACGGCCGAGACGCCGGTCAAGAGACCGAAGAGAGCAAAGACGGGCAAAGTCATCGTGGCTAGGGGCTATGAGGAATTCTCGAAGTGGAAAAATGGATTCGATTTATTCTATGAATGTGGAGTTGATGTTTTCGTCGGCTTGATGATTGTGTCCTAGCACCTCCCATCATGAGGTTCAAACGCCAAGCTTATATATACGTCTCTTAGCGATGAAATAAGCATAGCTCTTATTATCCATCCCTTTCAATCCCCTTGGTGGAATTTCGTGAGCTTTCCGAAACGCACAAGGGAAATGATGAACCTCGACATGAAATGAAGTAAATTTCATGCTGTCTCACGGGATATCCAATGCCGCAACCCAAAGAGGTTACATCGGGATTCTTCAGCAGGTTGAAGTAATACATATTTGGACGTGTAGTCTGGGATATCCCAATAATGTTACCCCGGATTCAATCGGTAGCTTCCATCGGCAATTGTTAGCCGATTGGGATGCCCAGCCTTGGCGCTCTGATTCGAGGAATTTGGTTGTGAAACCCAAGGGCCAGCGGCAAGCTGCCTAATGGAGGGTCAGACCGATTCGGCAGCTGAGACGCTGACCGTATAGACTTTCTTTGCTGTAATTACTCCATGATCTTCGTCGCAACAAGGTTAAAAGAGTCTGAAACAGGCCCTTGGTTAGGAAATAGCTTGTTGACTGGGACGGTGGGAATTGGTGGAACGAGATGAACATTTCATCCTTCCAATAGACCGTTGAACATCGTGCACTAGATGCCGCGTTTCAAGGGGCTTACCGGCCTAACATGACATGCGAGGGCTTGGAGATGCAGGTACGGGTAGCATGGGGGGATATCGGGCAGTCATGTGTTGACCCCCATGGACCGCCATTTGGCTGAAATCACAAACACATTGGAGATTGAAGATGTGAAATACACGAGGAGCGGTGAACAAGTTCTGAATGGCCAGTGGCGGGTATAGCCCAGCTCACAGCCCCTTGAATTCAGCCGGAAGTGGCTGCTTGCCAATCCAAGCCCTGATGGCTGTTCCAAAGAGCTCCGGGAATTGGAGATCCCAGGTGTGGACGGCGTCCTTGACAAGGTACACTCGAGTCTGCTTACCCTCACCGAGGCCACCCTCCTGCAAGGTGTGAGCCAGCTCCCTCGCCTTGTCCCTCGGATCGCCCTTCTCACAAGCCGCCACCAAGACGCGCCTGTCCTGCTTCGCGACCGCCCTGGCAGCGTCAGACTGCCAGGTGCTCATCTCGAAGAAGGCCGAGTTGGCGAGCTCGTAGCTGTTGTTCGCCCTAATCTCCGCCTGCAGGTCGCCATGCTCCACGAGCCCGGCGAGCCAGGCCTGCAGCCGGAAGATGCCGCAGCCCATGACGACCCAGAGGCCCCAGTGGACGAGGCCGGGCCGCTGGGCGATCCAGAGCTGCTGGTCCGTGAAGGGCGACGAGCCGGAGACGAACGCGGACGCGACCGTCTCCGGGTGCCGGCGGATGAGCTCGAGGGCGACGAAGCCGCCGAGGGAGACGCCCACGACGTGCGCGACGCCGCCGCGGGCGTGAGTCCTGATGAGCTTGGCAACCTCTGCGGCGGCCAGTTGGAGCGTGAACGGGCCGGCGTCGCGGGAGCGGGAGTGCTGCGGGAGGTCTGGGACGATGAGGTGGTAGTCTGCGAGGTGCGGGACGACGTGGTCCCATTCGCGATGGCTGGCGAACAGCGCGTGGAGGAGGACGATGGTGGTGGTGGCAGCTGGGTTGTGCGACGCGAAGAAGATCTCGCTGCCTCGCACAGCAGGATCCGAGGCGCTCGCCATCTTGACCGCGTAGAGTCCGGTTTACTGAGATATGGAACTTGAAGACCGAGTTTGCTGCCCAGTATTGTGATCAGACAGACACGCAGGTTTATCTGCGTTTATTATCGACAGCCGGGCGTGTGGCAGAATCCTACACTTGCCGCATATATTGTGCCTTTGCTAAGGCGAAATGGAACTTCGGTGATCGTTTTATCATTGAGTCATTTCTCACTGAGCCGCAGCAGAGTGAAAGACGATGCAAGATGGCCAAGAGCAATCCTTTCAGTGATCGAGAGGCACGGTTGTTCGTAATACGGCAGTCTGAATTGGGATGAGGCCGAGATGCCCACTACGGATCCTGGGCAGGGGTTTGATCAGGGCTTAAACTGGTGCCTGGAATATTACACGCGGCTACTGTACACCAGAGGATGCATTTGTTGCCCATCTCCAGGCAAGCGAATAATATCATTGAAATCATCAATCGCCTCGGAAAAGGGGGCGGCGGCTGGTCTACAGCACCCAGTTCTGCGTATCAAATTGCGAGCCAAGACATCTTGCAGTCAATGTTTGCTACCAACAAGCACCCAAGTCGCTCTTGAGTGGTGGTTCTACGTGAATTCGTAGAAGCATCAAATCACTTCAGCTCGCCTGCAGGCCCCAGAGCCTTCTGATTCTTCACATCAAGTCCGTATGGCCATGACAAATCTCCGAGATACCAGGTCTCATGAGGACCGGGCTGCCAATCATATCCACTCCAGATCTGGCTTCTCAAAGCTCCCTTTTCATCGATACCCAAGACTGTGAGGAAGTCTGAATCATACGGTAAGTACATGCCTGATACAAGGCTGCTGAGGAGGGGGGAAACAAATGTTACTTACTTTCTCCTCGCTTTGCAAGCACGACGGGCTCGGATGCAAAGGAAGTCGCCAGGTCATACCACCCGTTCCAATTGAAACCGTCGAAGTTCTTGAGCACGAATGTGTCGCCGTCCCTGCCAATGATGTCGATCTTCCCAGCTTCCCAATGTACAACTTGGGGGATCTCGGTGAATTTACCACCAAGGCTTTCCCAGTCTTGGTACTGTGTGCCATCCCAGAAGAGATGGTTCAATTCTCCGCCCTCGCCCAAGGCCCAGATGTCTAGTCTATTCTCCCCCCACGAGGTTATGCGGGGAGTTCCATGGAATGGGCCCTCACCGAGGACCTCCCAGTTGGACAGGCCATGCTGCCAGTACAGATGCTCAAGGGCGCCGTTCTTGGAGATCCCGACAACGTCAAGACGGCCGGGGCCCCAGGAGGAAATGGCAGGGTCGCTGCTAAACTCACCACCAAAGGTCTCCCACTCCTTGTCGCCGGGGTGCCAGCCTCCGCTCCAAGCCTTGAAGACGTACGAGTCGCCGGACCTGCCCACGAGATCCAACCGCCCCGGACCCCAAGAGGTGCTGGTGACGAACGTGACGTTGCCGCCGAGGTCGTCGACGCCCTCCCAAGAAGGGCCCCAGCCGCCGTCAAAGTACTTGTGGAGCACGTTGCTGCCAGAGGCATTCACGTACACGACGTCAAATTGGCCAGTGCCCCAGGAAGAGGTGGAAGGAGGACTGGCCTCGGCGGCTGGAACGCGCTCGAAGCCACTGTGAGGCTGCCAGTCCCAGCCAGTCCAGAACTTGTGCCACAGGGATGCTTCATCTGGCCCGACGCCAAATACATCAACTCGGGGATCACCCCACGAGACTGCTGAGAAGCTGGTCTCGATGCCGGCGGCCACCACTGTAGCCTAGTAGGAGTTAGAATATGTTGTACTACGGCTATGAGACGAGGCGTACGTACCAAACCGGAAAGCAAAAGCGAAGCCTCTCTTTTATAGACCATATTGATCAGCTTTGACAATGGTAAAAGAATTGTGAGGAAGAAGAGCCGGTCCTTGAAGACGGGTAGGGAGAGGATTGGTTTTATACCCGGAAGCTCTGGATCTACCTAAGATAATGAGCACCATCAGGAATCCCCTGGGGGTGGTCGACGCCTCCCTCATCTTCTTTCCGAGCTCCGTCTGTGGCTGCATGCAGGATCCCGAGTTGGCCCTAGAGCGGGGTTTCGAGGTGCAGATTGCATTGGATCTTCGTGGGCAAGATGCGGAAACTTTCTGCACCTCTCGCAGAATTCGCCGACAATCATGGAGCGAATGACGACTACTCGGCGCTGTGAGCACAGCAAGCTGCCGCGGTTCTAACAGCGAGCCCGAGCAGAGAGCTGTGCCGTCATTCGGGCTCGGGAACACTGGCCATTGACTGACGCCATCTGGGATGCATTCGAAGGCATTCTGACGATGAGGCGGTCTCAACTGAGACTGAACACATCATCACAGCCACGGGCGGGACGGAGTATGATCTGGTTGGCTATAAGCCCCCGAGTCTCGGCAGTAGCTGCATCTTGGCTGCAGCGACTATGCCATGGAGAATCGATGGTGTCTTTGGTACGGGCCGCGCCTAGACGGATCTGCAGGTAGATCGATCGATCCGCAGAGCTGAAAAGCTGCACTGATCTCCCATCCCATGGGCCCTTCTCAGCCCTTCCAAGGGTCCCGAGCGCTGCAACACAACAGGAAGAGCACGATAATCCGTGTCTTGAGTGATTGGTGGCCACGTGCAGCTTCGGAAGCACGCTGAAATATTGGCCGACGCGGGGACAAGCTCAGCCAGCCCCAGCTAGCACAAGCTGGACATGCCGCTTCGTGTCGTCATCGGCGGCAGTTGACATGGCTTGATTGGCCTGGCGAGTTCCGTATATGGAGTTTCAACTCGTCTGTCTCAGGCGCCTGCTGATTGAGAATAATGCGGTCTGTTGCACCTATGTATGTACATAGCTTTCCAATTTAGTACCGCATTTTCACGCAGTGTCTCTTTTCTTCCCCCCTATGTCTCGAAGCTCAGAGGTCTAGCCCGAAGGATGTGTAACAAGGCTGAGCGGAACATATTCTCACAAGATAAACAGATGAGAGCTTCTATTGGGGGGCGATACTAATCAATGAGCGACACTGGTAGGATATGACTGACCTCAACATCTTTTAAGTTTTGATGCAATCGAAGATGAACCGGTGATGGGACACGCATGGCTTTATGAACGTTGTCGTGACTGTGTAGCAACCTCAAACCAAATGAATACTTGCATGCGTCATGAGGAATATGAATTCAACATAAGCGAAAGAAATTTGAAATCGGTCAGAAATTTGGCATTTTTGATTCAAGTATCGAACGAGTCTTGAAATGCTTTGATGAGGGTGCCTGAGATTTGAAAGGCTCATCTATTTCTCGACCCCTAGAGGATCTATACGTATTGTATAGTGATACACCGAGATTTGAATGGTGTACGAAGGCAACTGAGTTGACGGGGAAGTAGTCTGTTTAAACGAATTTCGTAGGAGGTAAGTTTTGAAAATAGTCAAACTCAGAGATATACCTAGACTATAACTGGTATTTGTTTGGATGCTTCTTGTATTTTCAAAAATCAAAGGTGAGCCTCTGTCCTAAATCTGTTCGTTTCAATTGAGCCTAAATACTTGAAGAATTAAGACCTGGTGAACAGACCAAGAGAAGACTTTGAAGGGGCATAGACGTGTAATGTGAAACTGTAAGCGTAATCAGGCGCCTCTGTCGTCTTCGTTTCGTAACTTTGCTGCGTTTCTCTTTGAATAATACCATACTAGGCCATCGAAATTCAGAGTAAACTACTGATTGAAATGTTTTAAACGAGTTCTCATGACCTTTCTTCCTTATTTTAGCTATGAAATTTAAGTGCAATGAACATAGAAATTTCTTTAAAAATGACCTGGTTGAATGAAGAGCTGGAATTAAGCCTTCTTTTAGCTAGTACGTTCTCCTACTACCTGTATATTACTGATAAACTAGAAAATATTTTTAGGATGAGGGGGGATCTATCTGCGGGCCCTATTTGAGTAAATCTTAAAAAGTCATGCGTGTAAGGAACACATATGATGAAAACTTATACCTGAAGCCGTATTTGAAGTTATTATGATCGGTTGACTAACTCTATAGTGTAACGATGGCCTTCTAGTTTGATTTCTTTTTGTAAATGATCTATTGATTTAATATTGCTGGGTGTTCTAGGAGTAGATTAGCGTCATGCCGCTTGGGTTGGAGGATTGTGGTCATAAATATTGCTCATGATGTTCGCCTTGAAAGACTGGGGTTCGCTTGTTATTAGCTTGAATAGTAGGTAGGCCGATTGAGAAGCTGGAAGGAAGGTAAATCTATTTCTGCACGGTCTCGCCCTTCTGGATCTCACCATGGCGGCAAAGCACCTGCTGGAAAACCTTCCAGAATGATACAGATTGGGAAAGCCAACTCCTCGTTAGATACAAGGTGCAAGAATCCCCGATCACCCCTCCCGCGGGACTATTTACCCTTCCTGGTAAGCTGAGATGGTGGATGAGGGGCTAGGTGGATCGAGGCGGGGAAGCCAAACGCAACGTATCGAGATATTACTGAGCAGACAGACTCGCGCGATTCTCAGGACAGGACAGCTGACTGGTGACATTCGACGGAAAAGATGGTGAGCAACTTTTGGCAATGCTTCCTCGGCGATGGGGACAGCCGGACTAGTTGATTCAGCACCGAGACTGGACCTTGCCCAGGCACACCCTCACCACTCACATCGGCCATAACATGGATCTCCGATGTTAGTTTAGGCTGCGTTACTAGTGACCGCTGAAAAGGGCAATTTCCCCCCGGCGCGGGGCTTGACGGCCAGTTTCCAACCTTCCATCTAACGACGCCTCCCCCATTTTCCCCTCCCACCAGCTTAGCGCAACGCAACTGAGGCATAGAACAGGAGTGGGGGTTTCACCGGCTTATCCAGGCATCGGTCATGTCCCGTGCGTGATTAGCTCTCACCGTCTAGAACCTGGTTTGACTGTCCATTGGATCGGCCAGCAGTTCCTATTGTGTAGCTTGGCTTCGGTGGGTTCGCCTGGAAATGGAGTCAAGCAACATCTCCGCATTGGAGCAGTGACGACGACATGGTGATTAGGTTCCATCCACCTCTGCCCGTCTGCTGATGCTGAAGACACCTTCCATCCCCATTTCCCATCTCCCCGCATTTTGCATCCGCGGATACCGAAGCTTGTCCGAAAGTTGTCCTGGGGTAGTGTCGGCTATGAAGGAAGGGTAGATCAAGTATAAATAATCTTATTTTCGCATGTGGAATCGAAGGGCTGGTGATGTCTTTCAAGTCTCTCAAGCTCACCCGCTTCCCCCACTCTTGATTCTGTCCCATCTTCAGTATACCCCAGGAGCTGCCTTCGATCATCACCATGGCTTCCCAGACTATGAAGGCCGTCAACTATGTTGGCCCTCACAAGGTCAAGGTGGAGGAAGTCAGCAAGCCTAAGATTGAACATCCTGACGACATCATCGTCAAAGTTACCACCGTGAGTATGCTTAATCCAGGTGCCGACATTAACATTCGACTGATCAAGTTCCACACAGTCTGCCATCTGCGGCTCTGATCTACAGTAGGCCAAGGCTATCCAAACCTTCACTAATTACCCTACTTACAATGTCGAAGCATGTACGAAGGCCGAACAGCGGCTGAGCCCGGCATCACATTCGGTCAGACACCAATGTCTCAATCGCACATGGCAGTTCGCCACTAACACCCCTCCGTAGGTCATGAGAACATGGGTATCGTAGAGGAGCTAGGCGAAGGTGTTACGCTCCTGCAAAAAGGCGACCGTGTAGTCATGCCCTTCAATGTCGCTGATGGGCGATGCCGCAACTGCGAGGAGGGCAAGACCGCTTTCTGTACCGGTGTTAACCCTGGCTTCGCTGGAGGAGCATATGGTAAGTCAATGACCTGGAAACAACATCAAACTATCCTTCTTCTTGGCTAATTGATTAATCGAACTTAGGATACGTTGCTATGGGCCCTTATCGAGGAGGCAAGTCACCGCACCGTGCTGCTTCGTCTGGTAAAATGGGATGCTAACGTCCTCTCCTAGGCCAAGCACAATACATTCGGATTCCCTACGCCGACTTCAATGCCCTGAAGCTCCCACCAGGAAAGGAGCACGAGGCCGACTTCATCCTTCTTGCTGGTCAGTCCCTTGATTGCCAACCGTGCATCCTCTGATCTCTGTTAACCACCCCCACATAGACATCTTCCCCACTGGCTGGCACGGCGTGGAAATCTCTGGCTTCCAGCCGGGCGAGTCCATCGCTGTTTTCGGCGCAGGCCCCGTTGGTCTCATGGCTGCCTACTCCGCCGTTCTGCGCGGTGCCAGCAACGTCTTCGTTGTCGACCGTGTCCCTGAGCGTCTGGCTGCTGCTGCGAAGATCAACGCCATCCCCATTGACTTCAGCAAGGGCGATGCCGTGGAGCAGATCATCAAGGCCAATGGCGGTGAGGTCGACCGCTCTGTTGATGCCGTCGGCTACCAGGCTGTTGGCAGCGGAGGCAACAAGGAGGAGCCCAACATTGTGCTTGAGAACATGATCAAGGTCACCCGGGCCTGTGGTGGTTTGGGTATCCCAGGCCTCTACGTCCCAAGGTACGTATTTGACCTTGCAATTGAAGAGATTAGCAAAGCTAACCATAGTAATAGCGACCCCGGTGCCCCAGACTCCGCTGCTGCCAAGGGCATGATTAGCCTTAGCTTCGGCAAGCTCTTCGAGAAGGTAAGTTTTATAAGCAACAGCTAATTGGCGACTTTATTTACTAATAATTCTTCTATAGGGTCTTTCTCTTGCAACTGGACAGTGCAATGTCAAGTCTTACAACCGATACTTGAGAGACTTGATCATTGCGGGTAGGGCAAAGCCTAGCTTTGTTGTATCACACGAGATTGGCATCGAGGATGCCGAGGTCGCCTACGAGAAATTCGACAAGAGAATCGACGGCTACACCAAGGTTCTCATTCATCCCAACGGTGGATTCTAAGTACTGTTTTGTCTCCGCTATTGCTGTAGATATCGGGTGTTTCTTTGTGGCGAGGCGCGCTGGTGAACGTGGTTGGGTATGGGTTAACGAGTGACAAGACAAAATAACGTAAAAATTGAATGAAAGAATGCATTAAGAGTCATCACACGCGTGAGCTTGCGAAGTTTAATCTGATTGGAATGATAAATGAGACTATGGAATCCCCCACCAGGTCTCATGGACATCTTTGATATCAACTTGGGAAGGCTCCTTCAGGTAGCTAGTTACATCAGCCTCTGGATCTAATTCCTTGGAGGTAACTCCGTTCCCGAAAAACCAAGCAAACCGATTTCCTGAATCATTGAGAAGATCGTATTCCCAATCTTCCCACCTCGGCTGGCGAAGTGCTGTAGCCATGTGGCCAGAACTACCAGGCCATATTCCATGGACTCTCCCGCCCCTGTTCCCTCCGTTGTACCATGAGCTGCAGTTGTCGGACAACACTGTTTTTTGGAAAAGGGAATCGCTCCACTGAATAAACTCGTCCGTAGCATCCTTCTTTGCTTGTATCGACTTGATCCCCTCAAGGTCGATTTTACGGAGCAGTTTGGAGTAGAAGGCAATCTGAACCTCAACAGTGTAAGGGATGGAGCCGGAACTGCCGAATCCATAGGGGCCAAGGATAAAGCCGAGGTTGGGGAAGCCTGGGCTCGATACACCAAGATAAGTGTAAGGAGATCCAAACTCCCCGCCTCTCTTCCAGACTTCCCCAAGCTCCTTTCCGTTGGCGTAGATCTTGAACGGGGGCACTTGATCCACATTGGCTCCGGTTGCGCAGAAGATTGCATCGACCTCACGGTGCTGCCCATCAGTCGTCTCTATGCCAGTCTCGGTGAAACGCTTGATCTCAGTTTGGATATATTCGACATTGCCTGAAGAAATGGCTTCGAGGTACCCAGGACCTGGCGTGGGGCGGCGGCAACCAGGAGAGAAATCCGGAACGAGTTTCTCTAGCAGCTCTGGGTGGCCTGCAAGTCTGTCTTGATAAATCTTGAGATATTCAGCGCGGCGCGCCTCGTTCTCCTTTGTGCCTTTGAGCCAGCCTTTGTAACCTCTCCAGTACTTCTCCTCTTCCTGCTTGCGATACTTGAGGTATTCCTTGGGGTCGGCAAATGATTCCCTCTTCTCTAGTGGGATCTCGATGGGAGAGAGGGAAGTAACGTCACCAGAGAATGATGCCGTGACCCAGGTCTTGTTCCGTGCGTAGTGATCCAGATGCGCGACCCTCTTCTGGATGTTCGCAGTCAGCTGGATGCCACTCGCACCGTTTCCAATGACAGCAACGCGCTTTCCGCTCAGATCAAAGGATGGGTCGTAGTGCGAGGCATGTCTTAACAGACCCTTAAAATCATCCTTTCCAGGGTAATCGGGGAGCTTCCAGGCATTGAATCGCCCAATAGCTGTTAGAACGTAGTCAAACTCCTCGACCGACTCTTGCTGGTTCAAAAGGTCTGTGACACGGATGGACCAACTGCCCTTGGAACCGTCCCAATTCAGGTCCTGCACCTCGTGAGATAGCTTGAGATACTGATACACAGAGTATTTCTTAGCTAGGCTTTGCCAGTAGTCTCTGATCTCGGCACCCTGCGCAAACTGTTCGGACCACTGCGTGTTTGGGTCGAAAGTTGACTGGTATACATGCGCTGGAACATCGCACCTTACACCGGGGTAAACGTTCTCGAACCATGTTCCACCCTAAATATCTATTAGCATGGAGGATTGCTTCCAGGATCAAGAATAGAAGAAGAGAATAAAATACGAACCACGTCGGCGTTCTTTTCAAAGATTGTAAGCTTGATTCCCGGAACCTTTGCAGGGAGGAGTATTCCTGCCGTAACACCTGACAGGCCTGCTCCAATCACTGCCACTCTCAGCTGCCTCGAGGTGTCAATATTTCGTCCCAGGATCTCTACGTGAGGGGGTGGATGCAAAGTGATTTCAGTCCCCGCCGGTACTGATGTTCCGGTTTCTAAAGCATTGTTATTCGCGGCAACACTGGGGGAGTTGTTGCCTTTTGGCACTTCAGTGTTGGAATCTGCAGTCATTTTTTTTAATCAATGAGAAATATGGTATTTCGCTGAAAAATTATAGAAAAGTAAAGCTACAGGTTGGGGAGTTTGAAACTCTTACATATTATTCGGCACTGGAGCACACAATCATGATGATGGTTGACGTGCTTCGGCATTATTAACGCTACTCTAGCTCGCTGTCACCCGAGATCGGGTCCACGGCGCTACTCGTATAAAGCCAGACTCGAGCCAATCACACGTTAGCTAGCCTATAAATTCCATGCATCTTTGGGAACGAAATCAAGGGGTCCATATTGCGTCATGAGACCGTCGTACACAATATCCAGATTGAGGATGTTACGGCATCAAGTTCTATATGGCGCACACAAAAATATATTTGAGCTGCGGAAAAGAGGAAGGGAGAAAAGTAAAACCAGAATAAAGACCTAAAGGAAATGAGTACAATTCGATTGATAGTCGGCTAACTCTTAGCGTCATTCTTAATTACGTCCGGTCTTAGGATGCCTGACATAGGCTGTGTTATAAAAGAGTTCCCAATGCTAATGGATGCTAGAATGGCCAGGCTCAAATTGCTGGAAATGCGGAAGGATATTAATTGTCTCATGAATCAAATTTCTTATTATTTTATTTACCTTATAGAATTAAGAAGTAAGTTGCACCATTCGAGCGGAAAGAGAAGATGCTAAGAGTTTCCCTCCTGTTAACTGGGTGGACACGTAAACACCCATCATTTCTAGGGCTCTAAAAGGATAGTATTTCACACGGTACACGTTATCCTATATCGTGTTCTATTTTGGACTTACAAGTCTTTTTTTAATTACTCGATCCATCCAAAAATTGGACGGGGGATTGCTGTCCCCTATCTTTGTTGCTATATATACTCCACGTCAAATGCCGATATATTATGGACTTCAAGCTACCGATGTCTTCGGCAAGCCTAAAAAGACTCCTTCCTAGGCGAATTTCAAGTCTAATGGATTCTATTGGCAACAATCCCAAGCTCTCCAACTTCGAGAGGAGCAACGACGAAGAGAAATCTATGTGCCTCGAATTCTTAGTGTTGGATAAACCTGTCCCGGCAAGTGGAAAACATCTTCTTAGGGCCTAAGAAGCTTATCAACTGGCTGGCAGAGGGAGAGTGCCTAGGATTACCTTTAGGCTTTGACCGACTCGGCTGCCAAAGTACCGCCCAATGACACAACTGTATATACAATGTCGGCCTTGCCAAGGTTAGTATGTAGAACCCTCAAAGCTCATAAAGGGCGGTTAACTATTGATAGTCTCTTGTCACCCCTGTATTTGAGATGTGCCGCTAGTAGGGGACTTTTATTAGGCTCAGATGCTAAGAAATCATGCTTACTTTGCTATAGTATAATAGGCAGGCGGTATTTGCACTATCAAAATCTTTTTACGCTGTTTGATTTTTCCTGTCAACACACGTTGCTTGAGGCGGAGTGAAAAGCCTGTGTAAGCTGGTTAGGCGCTGTCAGTTAAGTGAGGCACGACGTTACTTCTTTTACTCGATCTTGTTACATGTATCTATTTTACGTCCTCTCTAACAGCAGGCGGTTGAGTCGATCACAGGCCAAGTAGCTGGCCAGAGGGTTCTCAAGGAAGAAACCTGTTGTAGTACACAAAAAGGGACAATAACGCGCAAACGATTGTTGTCCCCTTGCATAGGAATCCACCTGACTGGCCTAGCGGGTGGCGGTGTCAGCTTTTGGGATGGGACTCCCTGCTCCTATCTATGTTACTAACAAGGCATGAGGAATCGTCTGACGAGTCCATATTGTGACAGAAATGCTGACCAACAATCATTGCGGACAATAGAGACCGATGTGGCAAGATCATCCGAGCGTGGGCCATACAGGCGGAGTTCCGACACGTAGTTCGAGAATTTGTTTGTGGCATGATCTTGTTCTTTCTTCTTCTTTTAGAATCACTTACCATTCCAACCTGGTAGAAAAAAAGTCATTGAATATGTCCGAAGAACTTGAAAAGATATACGACGATGTCGTGGCGTCTGGGCTGCTTCCCGGTGTTTCAGTTTTTGCAGGGGACAGAGGTGGTAGGTTCACCCCCTCACGATGCAACTTTATGGGAACAGTTTCCATTCAATTGTTCAACAAACTTATTATTCCTCCTCTCAGGTGAAATTCTCTACACTAAATCAATAGGTAAAGGAAGCCTGAAAGATGGCTCTGATCTTGCCCTCACGGAGTCCACCATGTGCATTATTGCTTCCATGACGAAGCTAATGACTTCGGTTGCGGTGCTCCAGTGTGTCGAAGATGGAAAGCTCGACCTCGACCAGGACATAAAGCCTTTGCTTCCTGACATAGGCAAGCATGGTATCCTCACCGGCTTTGATGGCGACATCCCGGTTCTCGAACCAAACACTACGCCAATCACCCTGAGGCTGCTTCTCACGCACACCTCAGGTCACGAATATGATTTTATCAGTTCGACAATCGCTAAATGGCGAGCATCTAGAAATGAGACGCCATGGTTAGGCAAGACCGTCGAGGAGAAGTCGGTAGTACCTTTGCTCTTTGCTCCGGGGACTGGGTTTGCATACGGCCATGGCCATGACTGGGCAGGCAAGGCAATTGAGAAAGCGACTGGCGTGACCCTCGAGGAGTTCATGCGTACTCGCATATGGGCACCATTGGGCATCGAAAACGACGCCAGTTTCTTCCCCGAGTTGAGGGAGGACATGAAAAACCGCCTGGCCACCGTAAGCACGCTCAACGAAAAGGGCGAGCCACCAGCTGTCTATGCCGCGCAGTTTGACGCCCGTTTCGGAGCAACGGATTGTCTGGGCGGCGGACCTTGCTGGATTACCCCCCGCGCACATTTTACTTTCCTCTCGGCCGTCGCCCAACGCGACCCCAAGCTCCTGAAACCCAGTTCATACCAGGAGCTTTTCCGGCCGCAGCTTGACGAGGTGTGCGAAAAAGCCATGAACGACTGTATTGCAAGCTCGCCGCTGTACACACAGTTGCTCGGCTTGGGCATTGCGCCGGCCCACAGGGTCACCTGGAGTCTGGCTGGCATGTTCGTGAAACAGGACATCGAGGGGCACTGTTCTGAGGGAACTGTGCTGTGGGCAGGTGCTACGACCAGCCAGTGGTTCATTGACAGCAAAGCTGGTGTCTTTGGCACTTGCATTGCTCAGATATTGCCGCCAATGTTCCCGCCGGTGATGCAGCGACATGCTCAATTTCAGCAGTTGATCTACCAGAAGTTCGGGAAAAAGTAAAATCTATGTATTGTTTACTGGTAGCATACACAACGATACTATTTTAAAGCATATATGCATCTTTATCTACTATTGGGAAATGGACACCAGGTTTTGAAAACCTTTTGTGTTCTTAGATGGATCCGCTACCCTGACTGTTTGAGTGAGGTGGATGGGAATGATGAAGAGACAAAAACATACCAGCTACTGAACTATCTTAAGAGAGAAAATTAGGCAAATGAATAGTTAGTTGTGGGTAATTAAGTTGCCAAGTATTTTAAAAAAGGGTCTACAAATCTGACACGAGAGCATTTGTATACTGGGTTTGTTGTTGCGACAAGAGATCATAAGCTGTTACCCACCATCGATTTAGATCGGAGATTTTTGGATCTTGGCCTGAATCACGACTATTTGGGTTTTTCGGAAATGAACATTTGGGATTCTAATAGAGGCATAGATTACTGAGCCTGCAATTCTGTCACTGCTATGCATGTCTCAGTGAGGGTGCCATCTTGCATACTTTCCGAGGAAGATGTAATTCAAGTTTACGAGTAGATTTCTGCACGCCAAATCTTAGATGAAACAAAGTGATATTGCTAAGGAAATGTCCCCAACCGATCTACTTATTGGTGCGAAGGCTACTCTTTGCTGATTAACACACAGATCCAATGTCCGCGAGGAGACTACACCGACCATTTCTCAATGAGATTCCTCTGAAAGAAGGTGGAGTTCTGATCCTTCACACGAGCTCTTGCCGTGAATCTAGAGCCGTTTTGATTGATTGTCCTGACGTCAATGTCTCCTTTGATTTCATTGCCCTGCGTAACCGCTCCGCCCCCTTCCACAATGATTTCTCCTCCAAATTCGGATCCGTCCTGAAAGATCTGTTGGGACGGCTTGGGGGATCTCTTTCCATACTCAGCACGCGCTCCCATGGAAATTATATCACTGGAGTTAAAAAAGAAATAGTTAGAGACAAGGCTAAGGTACGACTCCAGAACGCAAAAGAAACACTAACGTGGACTTGGATGCGTGAACAAGGCTGTTGGAAGGCTCCATGGCGGCCATCGAGGGCACTCGCTAGATGAGAAGTCAGTGAATCACAACTTTCACAGTGAATGCGTTGGGTACAAACCGTTCTTTGGTCCTGGAATGTATTCATTGGCTTCGACTTGGTGTTGGCGTTGAGGGTTGGGACTGTCTTGCGAACTACCTCTCAGCCACCCAGCATACATGGGAATTGCCCTCCTTCAAATAGTTGTACGACTTTGTTCTCGGTTGAGCTTCATGTTCGGATATAAATAAATGGCGCAGATCACATGCGACACTAATAAGTTCAGCTGGTTGAAAAGCTACCAATGAGACAGAACCAACATCTTGCTTCTTGTTCTATTAGCGCCCTGCGTCAGTGGCGCGGAGTTATTTTCTTATACTTTGCGGGAGAGGAATAATAATCTCGAGCCTTATTGGTTCTCTTACATCAGTTACCGCCGGTGGCTGAGGACCAACGCATAATTGTGTCTCAGCTAGAAGTCCTTTGCATGAGAAGCTGGCGCGTCCGTGTTGAACCCATGTACTATTGGTCACAGAATATGACATGTATCTTTATTATGTGGAACATGATAGCGTATTTCAGAAATGATCAGTCGTGATGGTGCACGTCTAACATTTTCTGGCCAGAGCAGGGAGCATGACCCCCTATTCATTTCAGCGGCAGAGTTACTTCCTTCAGCTTACCTGCGACATGCATACCGTGCCGCATTACGGCCTTTCTAGCTTGCCCAACAGACCAGTCAGCTCAAAAGAGCAGCTTATCGAAGCAGTAGCCCAGCCAATTGTCTCAGAATGTAATTCCCCCCATTCCCGATTTGCAGGTACTGAACCGGTCTCACATTTGATCCTGGATAGGTGAGCATTTTATTCCCTCGGAAGCAATAGCTGTTCGATACGTAATGCTTCTTTCCCCAACAAACTTGTGTGTCCCTAAGAGAGGATGGCTCTATGCTGGTAGTAAATGCATTAAAATAAAATAAAACTTTCACATTAGACATGTTAAAATATCACGCCTCTTCCATGGAGCAATACGGCATTCATACTATTCCTCAACAAATTAAATGGATCAGTGATGAGAACCATTTCATTCAGGTTTGCGTCCCGTGCTGCTTCTCTCGTCATCTACTGGGAAGGGGAAGATCTGTAGATTGTCTCACCCCGCATAGGCTGGCGGTATGGTCGGTGAAAACTTGGTATCATGGTTTGAGAAATCAACCCAAACACTAGTCAGGTAAGGATCGGTTCGGCCGTGTATTACTACGATAGCTGTGCATGGTAGAGTAGTATGGACTGGCTTCGTATGTTCTCTTGAAGGAGTATCTTGCAGATGAGGTCATATAAATATTAAAACATATCGACTTGATTGAATTCATCGAACAGATAGTCTTGACAGGCGCTGCGCCTGATATAGGCTTCAATAGTCATTCTTGTCAATGATCACCCAAGAATGACGCCCGTCGAAGACCAAAAATAGCAAAAATATCACCATTTGATTGTATTCTCTAGATCGGCAAATATATAGATGATAACGTTCATAAATGCCATGAAATTGAAAATAATCTTTTTTCTAATGACTGAATCAACGAGTGATCGTAGGGAAAGAGCGAAATATGCTTTGGAAGTTGATGAGTCCTTCAAAATATCGGTGAGTCACACCGTGGCTGGTTCAGTTCCGCTCTGGAACTTTTGACAAAACGGAGATGGCTGCAGTAAAGCTACCTGATGGCTGAGACAGGTTGTCGGTTGCCCTATGTTTTCAGGCATTGAGCTTCTTTTCTTGAGTGTTCAACCCTCTGATGTCATGTTGCTCTAATTTTATAGTGTGCCCATTAGGTGATACTCCATGGCAGTCTAGAGATCGTGCTATCATTTCATGCCACAGAAACTGACTCTGAGCACAGGCATTCACACTAGCCCTCCCGCTCACGTCCTAGAAACATAGAAATACTATCGAGTCACCCACAGGAAGAATCATGTCTACGCGAAGCAGACGAAAGGTGGGGAATTCTTCCAACGGCCTAGGGGAGCCATAGTTGCGTCATGACACACCCAATATCAGACCCAAAATACGGGTTTCAGCCACGGGCTCCTATTTACAACGTTGCTTTAACCGTATCCTTTCCAAAGGGTCCTTTCCAAGGGGTGAATATGGTAACTAGGATAGCATGCTCCACACTCTCCATAGAGTGCCTTGACATGACAGGGTGATATTGGTACTAGGCAGCTTTCCCCGGAAATTGCTTATGCCACATGTTGGATGGTGTTGACTCTTGATTAAGAACACGGCTGTTTCCATATTATTTCGTATTCTACCAGTGCTTGTCCTCCTACTTATGATTTCTAGCGTCCTCTGCACCAAATCACTCTACTTCACCCTGTAGACAACCGCCACACTTTATACGGCACGGACAATTTCATTTTCCCTAGTAGGCAATACTGTGCGAGGCTCAGCCAAATGCATCCAGACTTGAATGTCAGATTAGTGGTGGGTCAGAGAGTGTAGACGGCTAAATACTTGCGACAGTGATAAGAGCAGGGTCCGTGTATGCCTTGCCTTTTTCTCGTTTTTCTCACCCATGGTTGGTCAGCCTGGGGTCAGATAATTCTCCAATGTAACGACAACCGGCTATTAGACCACAAGGCACAGGCACTCACTTCTCCAACAACAAGGTATGTTAACTGGTCAGGCAGCCATACCGGCGGTTCCAAAGTTCCTTCTCCAAAGGTCCTTTCTTGAAGGGTTTTTCTCTCGGCGCGATGTCCCCTGGCTGACCCCTGGCTAGCCTTCCTTTTCCAACAACGTGTATATGAAAATTCCCGCATCCAGGACGGCGAAGGTACCCCGCTGATGCCTTAGCTACCTCTATCCTCCAATGAGTCAGAGCCCCAGGGTCCCAAACGATCAATTGACTTGAACGTGACTTCCACCAGGAGATTCCTTCTGGTGTCTCAGCCTCAGACTATTGCCATATAGCTCCTTGGCACTCTCATGGCTTGCGTGTAAGCCAAGCCCAAGGATCCAAAGTTCGAGTTTCCATGTTGCATTGCATATCAATCGTCTGATGAACGGCGACCTCGCCCGACTATTCTAGTCGTGAACTCCTCGTGAAGGCTTCTCTCATCCTCCTCATATGGCATAGCACAATCTTTCACTGCCCTTGAAGTTACATTACACTCTAGAAATGGTCATACGAGAAAGTCTGGGCTTTAGGCAGTTTCTGCAGGCTTCCATCACCGCCATGTAATCACACGGTTCAATGACCGAGTTGGAGAACATTGAAACTTATAAATGCCTCTGTTGTCCCGGACTCGCTTGTTTGATGAGTGTCTATCTCTTCATCAATACACAGCCGACAAGTTCAAGAATACCTAAATTGAGTCAGAGCTTACTCTCTGGTACACCAGAGAAGATGTGGAAATCAACCGGGCTGTTGTCAGCCTTCTTGCTCTTGTTACCTAGTGCAGTAACTGCACAGGACGTCTGGCCTCAGTTTGAAGCGGCCAAGAAGAGTTCAAACCCATGCCCAGTAGCCTGCTCTGCGGACATCGGGCCAGCCGGTTGGACTCATTATCATGATACTGAGAGGCTGTCTGTGTGTCGCGAGCCAATCCTCCTCGACTACAACCTCTATACCGGTTTTGGCCAAAACAAATCGGCCCTCACCATCCGTGCCTGCACTCTCGGGGATGCAGACACCAAAGTCAACTATCTTCTTGAGACTGAAAATCTCGGCACTGAGGTCAAGAACAAGAATGAGGCTGTAGCCCGTTCGCTCAAGCGCCGAGACGACGACAAGAGTACTTGCGGTACCTCTACTTCTTCTGCTGCAACAGCCAAACTATCCTGGTGGGATGGATCCGAGTCCGTCACCAGCGACCAAAAGACCGATGTTGCGCTTGCTATTGAGAATCTCAAACACAATCTTCCGCAAGATGAGAACAAGTGTAGCGAGAGGATCATCTTTTCCTACGTCCGTGGAGCACTTGTTGGCATGTATGCCGGTGTTCAGTTGGATGACGAAAAGACGGCATCGTCTCTTCTTCAGAAATTTATTGATGAGTGGAAGGGTGAGAGCGGGTCAGCAAGTCGCAAGACTCTCGAGGTCTGCGACAAGGATCGAACCTCACCCAATATCTTTGGTGTTGTGGCGGATACCGCTGGCGACTTCGCCACTGTCCAGTCGATTGTGAGATCGTGGACTGACGGAAACTGTGCACCCGACGTAGACGGTGGCAAGACCAAGGACATCAAAGACTCTGAGATCTCATCTTTGAGTGCTCCGTCCACAATCAAGCATCGTGCCCTCCGACATCTCAGTCCAAGAGACGAGTGCCGTACTATCACGGTTGCCGGCGGCGACTTGTGCGGCACGCTCGCTACACGTTGCGGGATCAGCCTCTCCGATTTCCTCTCCTACAACCCCGGCAGCACATTCTGCAATACTCTTGCACCCGGTCAGCGTGTCTGCTGCTCAGCTGGAACCCTCCCACCCAAGCCGGTACCACAACCGGACGGCACGTGCGCCACTCATGATGTTGCAGCAGGTCAATACTGCTCGTTGATTGCAGCCACATATGGTATAACGGTGGATGACTTGTACAACTTTAACAAGAAGACTTGGGCGTGGAACGGCTGTGCCCTCTCGGTTGCGCAGAGAATCTGTGTGAGCGAGGGCAACCCCCCGATGCCGGCGGCGGTTGAAGGAACGATCTGTGGCCCTACGGTCCCTGGGACCAGCAAGCCTAGCGATGGCCAGAGCCTGGCTGATCTGAACCAATGTCCTCTGAATGCCTGCTGCAATGCCTGGGGATATTGCGGCACAACAGCCCTGTACTGTACCCTCCCCAACACGGAGACGGGAAACCCTGGCACCACGAACCCTGATGGAACCGGCTGCATCTCGAACTGCGGTATGAAGCTTGTGGGCAATGACAACCCCCCGGCCCAGTACCGCAAGATAGGCTATTTCCAAGGCTACAACAAGGAACGCCCGTGCGGCACAATGGACGTTGAGGACTTTGACGAGTCATACACACACGTCCACTTTGGGTTTGCCACGATCTCGTCTGACCTCCAGGTCGTCATCCCAGACAGTTCCACAGAGCAGTGGGCCAAGTTCCAGAACAGCACCAAGATCAAGGCCAAGAAGGTCCTGGCATTCGGCGGTTACAAGTTCTCCAACGATCCTGCCACCTCGGGGCTCTTCCGGCTGGCAACCCTGCCGGCGAACCGGAATACCTTTGCGGACCGCGTTGTCGCATTTGCCAATCAGTATAACCTTGACGGCCTCGATTTTGACTGGGAGTACCCTGGCGCCTCGGACATCCCCGGTGCTGAGCCAGGCCAAGCGGCCGATGGGCTGAACTATCTCAAGTTTTTGGCCACCGTTCGTGGCAAGCTTGCTACTGAGAAGTCAATCTCCATTGCAGCACCAGCTTCCTACCACTATCTGAAGGAGTTTAGAGTTTCTACGATGGCTAGTGTTTTGGACTACATGGTGTACATGGCCTACGATCTTCATGGTAAGCTTTTCTTCCCCATATTGTTATTTCTTCCCGCCTTGTGTTCTTGTGCCAAGTCTAACGACGTAATTCTCACAACAGGTCAATGGGATGTTGGCAGCCCAGATGCCATGGACGGCTGCCCAGCCGGAAACTGTCTTCGATCCCACGTCAACTCCACCGAGACATACAACGCCCTGGTGATGGTCACCAAGGCTGGCATGCCATCTGACAAAGTCGTCGTTGGTGTCTCCAGCTATGGGCGATCTTTCAAGATGTCTGACTGGCTATGCCGCTTCGAACAGTGTATGCACCCCCCCCCCCCCCCCCCCTTCTGCGGCGCGTCCCGCTTGAAATCTGCACATTCTGACTCCAGACTTTCCAGGTACTTTCCTTGGGGACCGGAACACACCGCTCGCCAAGCCGGGTAGCTGCACCAATGAGGCTGGCATCCTGTCCGACTACGAGATTGGTCAGGTCATCCGGAACAATGTTGGTGTCAAGGCCTGGTACGACGCCGCTAGCGACTCCGACCTCGTGGCTTTCGATGGCGGGGAGTGGGTGTCCCACATGAGCAAGGAGACTAAGGCTCGCCGGATTGCGTACTACCAGGGTCTAAACTTTGGAGGAACTTCCGACTGGTCTGTCGACCTCCAGGACTTCTCTTCGTAGACAGGATCGGCCCTCGTAAACTTGGGTGGCTCCAACGTGTTGAGTACACTGAATATCCTTCTCTAGAAGTTGCATCACTAAACCTCTGGGTTGACTGCGAGTGTTGCACCTCTAGATGATTTAAGTAATCTAAGGTAGCTTAGCTAGTCTAACGATGCTTAAGTTATTTACCAGTAATATATACAATACTCGAAACAGAAATTAGTGATATAAAGAATGAGCTTTAAAAGGATTGCGCCAATATAGCTTTCGCGGATGCTATGATGAATGAACGATGCCTACAGATTGCCAACATAGGGAACTGCGATGCGACAGATGGGACTTTAAACCGGTGCTGCCCCAACGCTGACCGTGTCAACCCATGCAGTGGCGCCATCTTTGCAATTCCAGCCGATGAGAACCTGCGCACCACCGCTCCGAGCCAACTGGTCCGCGGTGTACGTGCAAGTGGCCTTGTTTTGGACCCATGTGTTGAGCGCGGTCGCTGCCGGGAACGACTGCAGGATCAGGACACCTGATGTTCCGCCGTACGTGCATGCGATCAGTGCAGCTGTGCAACCATTTACTGAAGATACCGAGGATGTTCTGTACCACGCCGAGATCTCGATAGGAACCCCTGCAGAGACTTTGGTTGAGTCGAGAGGGCGCATGACATAGTTGGCGTAGCTTGATTGGTAGACCAGCTTAGCCGAATAAAGGCCACCCTGCTTCACGTTGCCGTCAAGTGATACCGTGATTGAATTAGTTCTATACATGACCCAGGGGCTGATGCCGCTCGCGTTATCATCGAAGCTCCAGTTCACTGTTGCGGGGTCGGGAGCTGCTGAAGAGCTGGCTGCCACAGTGGAGCTAGATGTCGTAGAGATGACGGAAGCCTCGGTGGAACTGGCCGTGGTCGAGATGATGGGGTTTTCTGAGCTTGGCGTTGAAGAGGGCTCTTGTGTAGCCGAGGAGCTGGGTGTAGCCGAGGAGACAGGTGCTGTCGAGGACTCTTGCGTCGTAGAGGAGATAGCAGTCTCCGAGCTCGGTGTTGTAGAGGGTTCTTGGGTCGCAGAGGAGCTCGGTGTCTCCGAAGACTCTGGTGTTGTTGATGGCTCCGGTGTCACAGAGGAGCTGGGAGTTTGCGAAGAGATTGGTGTGGTGGAAGACTCAACCACAATCTAGGTTTCCGATGGCGTAGAGGACCCTGGCGTTTCCGAGAAACTGGGGGTCGTAAACGGGTCAGTATATGCGGAGGAGCTTGGTGTTGTCGGTGTCTCAAGATCCAGAGACGAGCTGGGAGCCGCGGAGGATTCAGGCGTGGGCGTGACAAGCGAGGATGGAGGTCTGGTTTTGCATCTTTTCTTCGCCTCCCCTGGTGTGAGGATGCTCAATACACCTAGGAAATGGAGAAACGCCCGGGAATGCATAATGAACTGAGGTTGCTGGCTGAAAAGGAGATGGAATGAATGACTGAGAGGATAGGAAGATGGGAGGCTTCTGAACTTGGCTCACTGAAGTATAAAAATAACAAAATCGACCCACCTCAATTCAGGAACGAGAATTCTGGATCTTCATGCAGGGGAGCAACATGATGCAGTCTAACGACGCTACCGAGAGACTATTGGAAATTTGAATGGGGAGCCAATCTAAGGTCGTTAGCTCACCTACTTTATGTATGCTGGTTCCTTCGTCCCGACGGCACTTCAGGCCAATTATTCGTGCTGGGTCCGAGGCCTCGACTGGCCCATGAGTCTTCATCTAGAGAAGTGGCAATTCGGTCATGACATTGCGTTTTCTTGTTCATCATAAAGCAGAGCGCACCCCTGGGGGGTCGGAAGAATACAACTCGTTCTTGACATCAGTTGACATCTTCAGAATAAGAAGGAACACCAAAGTCATATCATAACTATTTCCTACCCTGGACATAGAGGTGCTTTGTATTCTTAGACTCATAACTCTCTAGAGGCTATCTAGTCATCTATAGTTCGCGTATAGCACAGTGGTCTAGCTTGAAGTATTGGCAAAGTTGACCAATAGTGAAGCCATAGGAAACAAACATTTCAAACAAATTGCTTTGAACAACGGCTTTAAGACTGTGTTAGTAGCTAGTGGGTTCAACACGCTCTTGCGCAACGAGGCAACTTTTGGTATATTCCCTAGGCCCTCTTATCCCCTTATTCATTCCCACGAGGAATGGGAATATAGCTTGTTCTGTAATATATATCAGCCGAACTCAGCCATTCTGATTGTGGTCTTCCGTTCGAAAAGTTTACCGACTATGTGTCTCAGGCAAATGTCTGGCTTCAGCTTGTCGCTCTCTATTCCTATTTGAGCACATCACATATTGTGTCACATTGAATCGCATCAGCCACTCAGCCACAGCGGGCAGATGCATGAGATAAAAAACTTCGCAGGAGCCCAAAACCAGGGCGGACATTCTCCCAATGCTCATGCTCCCCAATATCTGTATCGCCCACGCAAGTTCATCGCATGGCTGAACCTGGCCCCATGACTGCCTCGCTGATTGAGAGGCTCCCACCCGAGCTCGTCGCTCATATTGCAGTCTTGTCAGTCTGGGGACCGAATGACTCGTCGAGCCTGAAGGATTTTTCTGCTCTTGCTCGAACGTGCAGCCATTTCTACAGTATTCTGAACCCTCTCCTGTACAAACACAACTTCAAACATGATGAGCCGTACAAATCATGTGTCCTCTGGGCCGCGGATCACGGTAACCTCGACACTTTAAAAAGAGCACGCTCCTACGGGGCTGATCTCAATATTGATGGGTCCAGAGATGATTCGGATTTTACCCTCCCTCGGAAGTCTCTCCCCGGCGGATATATTGCGACTGCCCTATATTTATCTATCCACCATGAAAATATGGACATATTCAACTATCTCCTGGATGAGAATGTTGATATTGAAGCTCCTTCTTTGGGCCTTTGCTCATGCGAGCCTGGAGGCGACCGGAAGACATATCCTCTGCATGCGGCTCTCCACCCTGACATAGACCCTAGGTTTGCGCAAGAGCTGATTGCGAAAGGGGCATATCTTGTGGCCAAGCATGTGCCGGCAATCGCGTACATGGAACGAATGGAGGAGGTGTCTAGCAAAGCTATCGAACATCTTCTTCGGCGGTCTGAGCCTCTCGCTATGGGCGCGTCTCTGCAATACGCAGTAGGAAAGAAGAGAGCCGATCTCGTCCGCGAGCTTCTCGAGAACGAAGCAGATATCACGTACAGAAATCCCATCTCAGGCGAAACAGTTCTTCATGTTGCACTTGCATTTGAGGTGCAGGATCCGGATTTGGACGTCCTCAAGATGCTTTTAGCTCATCCTGAAGCCCCCGTGTCTGTCAGGAGCGACTATGGCGAGCCTCCTATTCTTTTATGTGCCTATAGGTCAACGTTTGTGGAGGCTATGAAGCTTCTGCTCGCTCATCCCAACACCGACCCCTTGGCCTCCAATAGAAATGGATTTACCGCACTTGATATCGCAGCAAAGTCTGGATCCGCTCCCATGTTCAGTCTCCTCCTGAGACACCCCCGGGTGAACCTGTACGATGAGGAACGCAGGCCGGGTGATAAACTACTCAATCTTGCTTTGCGATACATTGTTGACAATTTGGACATTGTCAAGTTTCTACTAGCGCAGCCTGGGGCCCGTGTTTCTTCGCCAGGACTCAACATGAAGACTCCCCTGCATATCTGTGCGGAAAAACCAGCATTATTCGAAGTTGCGAAGCTACTCCTAGCCCATCCTAGCCTCGAGCCACCTCAAGCTGACTCTTTTGGTGTCACGCCCCTGCTCTACGCTGCGTACTCTAAGTTTATTCCCATGATTGAATTGCTTCTCAGCCAACCCAGCACGGTTTGAGGCCGCCAAATCACTCCTTGCTCACCCTGATATCCAAACTACTGTGATGGATGGTTACGGCATGCCACAGCTCGCACGCGCGGCCGGGTCTGGATCGATCGCCTTGTTTGACCTCATTGCAAATCGGCCTGAAGTTGACATACACTCTCTTTGTGCCAATGGCCGAAACATGCTCCATATTGTTTGTAGCTCACCAGAGACTGAGGAGTCCATATGCTTAGCGGAACGTCTTCTGGATCGTGGTCTCCCTGTTAACGGTGGACTCGAAGCCTCTGGGAGCCCTCTCTATTGCGCGCTGAAGAATCAAAACGTCAAAATAGCATTAATGCTTTTATCACGAGGTGCCGATACGAATTTGGACATCGATGCCAATCATCAATGGGGCCTCCTACACCACTTACTCGCTGAGCCGCTCCCCTATCAGACCGAACTTCTTCGGGAGCTTCTCGCGAAGGGAGCGAGGGTAGATAGGCCGACTACGGAGTTTAGGGGCCAATATGGTGCCACGCTTATCTTCGAGACAGGCGGGACGCCTCTCGTCTTTGCTTTGGCCGGTGCTGGCAACGCCGAGTGCATGAAGCTCCTCCTTGACGCCGGAGCTAATCCCCGTGCCATGGCGTTGTCAAGGGTCGGGAGGGGTGGTGTCGAGGAAGGTGGCAAACATTCTATGCTTTCTGCTCTATTCCTAGAAAGGTTTCGGAGCTTCCCTGATAACCGCATCACAGAATGGAGTGTTGAGAGTATAACGGAGGAGGTTGTCCTCCTTCTTGAGCGGGGCACCGGCATCGGCCCTGTTGGGGAGGGCCCTTCAGCCTTTGAGTTCGCTTCCGACATTGCTTATTATTCGCAGAATTGGGAGTTGCTGGACTTGCTGGTAGATTATGCCACGAGTCAAAACATTCACCCAGACGAGGTGCAGCGGCTAATTGATGATTACGAAAAGGACGCGGTAGAGGTGAAAGCGAAACTCGCCAGCTTCAAATCTAAGTTGCTTTCAGAGCGGTTGATAGGGGCAGATTGAAATGATGAGGGAGATCCAAATTGTGGCCAAGATGAAAATGGTATGCAGAATCTGGATGACGCCAGAATGTCGAGGAAGGTTCCGATGCCAACTACGAGAGCGGCTTGGAGATGGCATCTGGCTAGGGTCACCTAGATTAATATTTAACGAGAAGAAGTGAATTCATGAACAAAAGATTAAAGGCAACACATGTTTTCACTGGCTGGGAGCGCCAATTTTTTTATTAGAGTGTGCTCTGTCCCTATGAATTACCTCGTGCCACGAACCGTCTTTCAAACCTTTGCCTCCACTGAAGTCGTCACACCCGGAGTAGAAGACTTCTCGCTATGAGACTCCCTTTCTCCGTTTCTCTGCCGTAGATTGCCGGATTCATCATGCGTTGCGTCCCACTCGGCCAACTCTTCAATAGGAACTTGAACAAGCTTGTGAGTATTGGCACCGTTGTCGTCAACCTCCAGAATCTCGGTCCTGATACGGTACCCGCGCCAGTTCGGGATCCAGTTCATCCAGGCATAGTAGTATACAACACATACGATCAAACTGTGAAATTGGGCTGTCAGCAAAAGATATTCCATGGAATTCAAAACAACCGCCAACTTACATTGCAATTCCAGTCAACATGTACGTCGCGTAGAAGAACGAGACATCTCCACCATAGATACCCTTCTCAGGAGGGAGCCACGGCATGACGAGGGTGTAGATTTGGATCAAGATGAAGAAGATCAATGCCACATCCCATGCTTTGAACTCGGAGTGAGGAATATTGTTACGGGCCCGGCGGCGACGGATCACATAAACACCGGCAGCCATGAAGAGGTGGAAGATGGCTTCTGGGTAGGTCTTCAGGCTGATGACGAACTGGAAGGCATCGCCGGCGGGCGGGGCGAGACACATGATGACCGTGAAAGCCCACTTCAGGGCATAGGGTCCCAGAGGCGTGCCGAACGGGCGTGTGGAGGTGAAGAATTTAGGGAACGGAAGGACTCCCTGTCTGCCAATCTCTCGGATGAGGCGTGACTGGCCGATGAGCACAGCCAGCAAATTACCAAAGGCGCTCAAGAGCACAAGCACGTTGAGGGCGGTCTCGGCGCGACCCTTTCCAAACACGGTTCGGAAGAAGACTGCCGCTGCGATCTCCGACGATTGGGAGAACTCTTTCTTGTCGACGGCGGCAAAGTAGGCAATATTGCAAAGCATGTACAGAACGGTAACGACCATGACGGAAATGACGCCATGTTTCTTGAGAGACGGGATCGGGTTCTTGATCTCACTGACAACATTGAAGGCATTGGCATAGCCAGAGTAGCTGAAGATGATGCTGACGAGAGCATTTGCCAGCCTGTTGCCGTTGTTAGTCGTACCTGCAAATGCATCGTTGAAATTGTGACCCGGGTTCTCGATGCTGGACACGTGGCCCCCGAGCACCACAAGCCCGGTGATGCTGATGAAGACGAGGGTGACGATCTTAAGGGCACCGAGAAGATTGGTGAGCCAGAGAGAGTATTTGTTGTGGGCAATGACAACTAGATACCATCACCGCGATGAGCTAGACATCCTCGAATACTTATATGGGGTTGGGTGAACTTACAGATCACGGCCAGCGAGTAGGCCGCCACCGCCACGCCTTTCATTTGCATGTCTGAGGGCGTGACTCCTGCAATACGATAGAGGTAGCGTGAAAGAACCACGGCGTTACTGCTGCTGAAGGACAGGATGACGGATTGTACGGCGAATGCGATTGGGAAGAAATGCTTGGGTCGTGGGTATGCTTGCTCCAGATACACTACCTCGGAGCCGCTGCGGTTCGGGAAGTAGCTAGCGAGCTCGAGATATGTTGTAAAGCCGGCGGCGGCCATCAAGAACCCGATGAACCAGTACATAAGTGCCAGCCCGACTGAGCCACATGCTTTGAGGATATTTCCGGCTGTTTTGGGGGTCACTTGCTGCTCGCCATCGACAAGTGAAGGGTATTAGAAAGACTTACGCGTCGAGAAGATACCCGTTCCGATCATTTGATTGACATTGAGAAAGAGAATAGTAGCCCAGCCGACATGGTATCCCAAAGGAGATCGTGACTCGACCGGCGCACCAACAGCTTCCTGGTAAGTTGCGCCGGATCCATTGCCTCCCTTGACACGGACGAATGCAAGGTCGCCATCATGGATCACAGATGGTTCAGAGTCCGAGGTGTACGGCTCTGTTTGGTTGCTGGGCGTTGACTCGGCGGCTGGCCTAGGCCAAAGCTTGCCTAACACCGAAGCCATTGAGCAGGCGGGTCCCGTTCAGACAATAGAACGATAATGGGAACACAATCCGATGATACTGAAGAGGCTCACAAGAATCCCCAGACCAGAGACAGCTCATTTGGAGGGTGGGACTGAGCCTAAATAACGGGTTCGTGTTTAAAGCTGGGGCCCCCATGCTGGTGAAACTATACGCCATTATTTCAATGAATGTCGAGATACACTTGGCAGCATCCCTCGTACTGACTACTGATAATAAATATTCCCTCGCACGGATTGTGTTTTCTCACCTTCCTAGAACAGCAGTATTTGTGGTCGACCATTTGAAGCACGCAATCCCGAGTGTTGATGCGTCATGTCACCGCTCGCTCATTGGCTGTAGCCAAGAGGCATCCGACGGGTTGTCAAGGAGGGATACCGCTCCCTGTACAATATACATGCTTGAATCGTGAGAAAGCCTGATCAATTTTCTGGGCAGCCAAGAATCGTCACAGAAAACAGGATTGAGCTGCCTATCAAGGGGTTCAGAACATGTTTGCCCAGCCTGTTGCGCATGAGGTGAGACATGGCTTCCAAAGAGAGCTCTATCAACAAGTCTTTAGGTCTCGACTCAAGACAGCCCCGCTCTCAAGGATACGTTGTGCTAGCCAGCGGGACGGCCTCCGCCTTGCGTTTCACCCTTGCATGCCATTCATGCCAGTCAAGATTGTAACAATAGGGGAGAGTTATCACTGCTGTTACCGATCCGGTGCGTATTTGCCAGGACACCCAGGCTTTCTTGGCTGGAAAAGAAGTCACGGAAGCTACCTCCGGTGAAGGGGTACTCAAAATTGAATTCAAATTAAGCTTACATCTGATGCTCCACCCCGGAGTAGATGCAACGAAGGGGTGGGTGTGATGCTCGTGTCGCCTTTTGCCGTCGCCACTGTCTTGGAAAGGTACTTTTGGCGCTTTGGAATCGGTCCGTTCGACGCCCATGACATGATTGGACACCCAATGACAATGACAATTGGGGAGGGGCTTGCCCAGACCGTGACTTTCCCGTATTTTATTCTAGAATAGTAAGACTTTCTTTCTACATTCATTTACTCCTGGGTGGCTGAGAGAGGAGATAAGATTGGTTGATAATGTTTTACGTCATACCCCTATTATTGCCTATAACCGTTCAAGGCTATCCGGAGAATTATTAATAAGAACTTTATGGCTGTTATATAAAATCGAGAATTTATTCCGTTCTTCCATTCCAACGACACATAGCTAGAGCGATACTGCGAGTAAGGTCGCCACGCACTCTATGCCACTAACGCTCTGAGATCTGAGACCCAGAGAGAGAATATAATAGCTAATAGAATCCGAGCACGCCAGAAAATATATCTAGTTTATTACTATGATTTTGCATCTGTGATTAGTGAAGGCGTTGTTCACAAGTAGACGTTGATGAATGGATTGATCGGCGTCGTTCTCACCAACCTGTTGATATCGAGAGACAATGCCCTCTCTCATTCTTTCGCCTCGCTCTCCTCCGTCGTATCTAATGGTGATTCTTCTGCCCTCTTAGGACGATCATGCTTTCCAAAGTAATACCACTGTGTATGATTAGGTTAGAGCTTGCCATCTCCAGCAGTCGGAGTATTTCACATACAAAAATGCCCGTTATTAATACCATTACGCCAGCCAGCGATGAGTACAGCACCACAAGGTACGGGTCCCGTGATACCGGACTCAAAGCCAATCCGAGAATACTTCCCAGGCAGTTGGATAGCTGCTTGAACGCCTGCACTACTGATTTAAGGCCTTGGGGGGAATTGGTGTACGAGACCTCGTCCATTGCAACATAGCCGAGTATCTCTCCACTTGCCAGTATGAAGTGTATCGGAGTCTGCAGCCAGACATTGATCTTGTTCGGGATCGTGCCACCCATGGATTCGGCACAAGCAAGAGGCGCGTTGTAACATGGAGGAGCCGAATAAATGAGTTGCTGGACGCCACCAGCAAAACCCATTCCCGCGGCGGTGAAAATAAAGGAGATGGCCATTCGTACGATGGGCCCAAGAAGAATCCGTCGTTTCGCTAAGAACGAAATTACGCCTTGGATAACGGGACCGAGCAATACAACAGCGATGCCGCTTAGAGCCTGAATCATGTCATTAGGGACGCCATGAAGCTCCATTTGGCCGGCTTGAGAAACCAGATTATTCAACATCTGGCCCATGCAAAGCGTAAACACTGCCATAGAAAGGCTTTATTCAAGGCTCATCAGTATTTGGTCACCAAGGGAGCGATATCTAGGACACATACAGAACTCTGCACGTCCGGAGCGTGACTTTGATCTCGTCCACAAACTCATCCGTCCATGGTACACTCCTGTTGTAGTGAGAAGCCTGATAAGAAGCCTTCGTGTTGTCCAAGCGGAAGCCGCTCTTGGTCGCACACCCTAAAACTTTACCAGCGGTGAGAATTATATTAGTCCCTTTTGGAACTTTAACTGTTTCCCCCAGTATCAGGTCAGCTTCTTGATCGTGCACACTCTTAGGGGTCTGAATATGCGAACCGAGCTTAGATGAGAGGCCACACAGTATTGCAATTGAAATGAGCAAGGCGCCAAAGCCAAGTAAATACGCCGGCCAGAACCCAAATTTGCTCTCAAGGAATGTAGCCGGGATGATTGAGAGCGAAGAAAGATTAGTAACCCTGATCATCTGTAAGTAAGCTACTGTGTATAACTAACTCGGGATTTGGGAGGGGGGGTTATACCAGAAAGACAGAGTGTAGATTGATTGAATGGTCAAATTCCTGTTGGTCACCATTTTTCGACCACCTCTTTTGTGTATCAACTGTGGCTGAGTTTTCGTATATTGATCTCCTAGGGGATGGTATTAGTTGCAAATTCAGTTTCAAATGTCCAAGTGAGTACGAAGCAATTGTGTCTTGGGTACCTAAAAATATGGGAAAAGTAGCCTTTACTCCTCCAACACCGCAAGCTATTAGAATCATTGACACAGCGAGCCCTGCTGGTCCAGCACCATGGTCAAGTGCAATGGGTAAAGAAGTTAGGAGCAGGATCAAACCACCGCATGCGTAGACTCTGGTGTTTTTTTTGTAAGTTAGCGAGACCATCACCAAGCATAACGTGAGAATTCTTACATCATGCTCAGAAGGAGTGCCTTGTAGCGCCCTAGCCAGGTGTCTGATAGAACACCAACTATCAGAGGTGTGAGGAAGCTGAGGAAGCGGTATGCATTGTTGATTGCTGTTGCCGTAGCCTGACCAAGGCCAAGGGCACCTGGGAGCGCGTAGTCGCCAGGGGGGTTTTGGATGTAGTTTTCTGGAGGATTTCTTTTTAGCAATAGCTTCGTCTGAAGTTTTGATGGAGAGAGCCTTACGCCAAGGTCCTGACAATGCGTAATATGCGAACCTCTCAGCGCCACCGATGATGATAACAATAATAACGGCTAGAGGGAGACTGTCGGCTGTTTGAGCCAGGTTGGCAACTTCGTCATCGGTCGCGCTGCGCTTAGTGTCCGTGTCAGACTCGGGCCCGACTTTTTGCTCAACAGAAACGCCTTGGCTCTTCTCTAATATTGAGATGTCTGTTGTGGTGTTTGCCGTAGGCGTTGGATCTTCGGCCTGGTTCTGCATTCGTCCAGCCATTTTTAATTGAAATCGATACAACGAGGGTGTAATGGAAGAAAAACATACCCCAATTGATTGAAAGAGGATACAATTCCTTCTTTTTCAACTCAAACGTATCGTAATGATCGATCCAGTGGTTGAAACTCCGAAGCCGGCCCCGAGAGCCGTTGAAGGCTACATCCCTTCAATCCCAACGGAGTAGGCGACAGATCCAAACCCGAAGCCGAAGCCGACCACTCTCAATGTCATCACACTGGTCCCTCACACGCAACATAGGCTCGGAATGACGAAGGCAGTAATAAGAAATGACTAAAAAAAAACATCGACAGGCAACCAGGGGTACCGAGCTCCTTGATGTCCTATTTTCTAATTATTGGGAGCAAGTGGTTGTAAGAATGCCTACACACACGATGGTGCCATCACCAACCCTACACAGACCGATGCGGCAACATTCCCATAGCGGCTCAAAGCTGCACTCTTTAAACAACTATGCGAAGAATTTGCACGTATGTTCAAATTGAAATCCTTTGAGCATTTCTGACAGAGAACTCATTAATGCTTTGGTTGGTGCAGTAGTCTTTGTTGTAATGGGAGAGTTAAGAAGATGGGAGTTATACGGAAGAGAAATCGAGTATAAAGTAATAATAGAAGATGCCAGACCCAACATCTAATTACCTACAATGAATACGAAATGTGAGAAAAAAAAAAAAAAAATTCTGGTTAGCCCAAGGCTGGAGATGGGAGTTATATGGTCATTCTTAGTATGTACCTTCCACTACTTTGGAGGTAGGGGGCTGGCTGATTTAGGCCCCCCAAGTACCTATCATGACCAGAGTCCTAGAAAAACGCATTGGAATTAATAACTAAATTGTGAGTAGGCCGTCATAGGAACTTTTGGTGGAGTTGTTCCTAATTCCCGGGATCGACCACTGATCGGTAATACCCCAACTCCGTACATTAATCCGGCGGTGGATAAAGTACCTTTTATCTGACCCTGCCAAGACCGGTGAATCTGTTCAACAACTTGCTGACTCTTCCCTGGGTCTATATCAAAAGGACACCGCTGCATATTTCCAAATCCTCATTGCTGCTTCCCTTCACATCACGCTTCCTTCAACATCAATTCGAGATGGACAATATTGGACACGACATACTCCAGTCCATCGTGGATGAATTGGTCAACGTTCACGATGGAAACAGCAAAGAGTTAGCGCCATATGCCGCCGTTTCCCGACAATGGCAATATGCTACTGAGAAGCGCATCTTCAGGCGCTGCACACTGCGAACTTACCCAGGTGAACTCGAGAAATTCACAGAGATATACTCGAGGTATCCTCACCGTCGAGAAGCGCTACGGGAGCTTAGACTCACCATCAATATTCCCCGAAACGGCAATACAAAAGAGGAGCACCAAGAAAATCAGGAGAAATTCTTTTCGGATATCTCCACCTTGTTTGCTACCTTCAGAGACTGGGAAACGAATGAGCCGGATACCTCTCTTAGACCTCTCCATCTTCGTGTAAGATGCTGTCTAGACACCGCTCGGGACAGGCGCGTTCATTCAGAGGATTTCGCCCCTTCAATCCGCCCGGAGGATTTGGACAAACTCCCATGTATCCGCCGGATTACATCTGTTGATATACATCACTCCAGGTGTTATACTATTCACCCTCATACATCGGGGAGACTTTTGCGTCTCATGCCGCGTGTAGAGAGTGCTGCTGTATATTTTTGGGATCCTAGGATTCCAACGACAGGTCTTGGGGTGAAGCGCCGTGCACTTCGCCAGGCTATGGCGGACTGTATCCTGATGATTAAAGATTCCCATCCGGGGTTGAAAAGTCTTTACGTGGACCGCTATGGCTGGCGTGACCCTGAGAATCATTATTTCATGCCCGAGAGTTTGCTCGAGAATGGTGTCGATACGCTTTGCCAGGCCATTCGATCTCTGTCATCGCTGCCTCGCCTGGAAGAGCTAAAGTTGATCGATGTTTTACTCTCTCAAGACCTGTTCCAAGACCAGTCTAAAGAGGAAGCCTCTGAAGGCATTACGGCAAACCCCTGGCCCGCTCTTAAATGCCTGGAGATCAGCACCGAGTGCGTCGGTGCCGATGGCAGCTGGTACTTCACTGGCACTCCAGAAGGCGATTCAGATGATTCAGACTTTAGCCATAATTTCGATGAGGAGGATCCTGCAAATGATCCCCCGTTCGGAAGGCGAGGTTTGTACGAATCGCCTGAATTCCCTTGGCGCTCACGTCCTGACCCGACCACCTTTAACCCTCTGATATCTGGTCTAGCCCATATGAGTATCCATATGCCGAAATTAGAGTTGGGCTTCTTCAAGATCCGTACAGACAGTTATTTGTCAAGCAGTCTGACTTTTCAATGGGTATCTGAAGGAAATCCATTCGAAAGTCTCACGGATCTAAGTAACGACCCGGAGTACATTGGTAATTGGCAGTCCCGGCAGTGGCGTATCACGGCTGAATACGGAAACGATACATGGAGGCCGGACGATGAAGTCAAGGAAGCCCTGGAAGCATGGTCAGGGAAGGGGAACATCATAATCTAGCGCCCTGCGGCTGGCCCTATGTCTTTTTGTAACCAGGTGCTGCGCTTAGAGGACAACCCAGCTTATACTTATGAGGTTCTATAGGTGGGCTACTCAATGATTCTCTATTAAATATGCTGCTTGTTTGCATGCATTCCAAAGCAAGATAATGTAGTAGTCCCCGGCAAATCCACTATGATCCTCCTGCGGGCCATTCCCTCGAATGAAAGATATCAAGCATCCCCTACTGGCCACAAGTTCAACATATAGGTCCATGTTCCCAAATTTCCCTGGTCCCGTAAATCTTCTTAACTATTCTTCAAAACCAAAACGAACGAAATATATCTGAAAAAATCAGTTCATATCTAGAGGATGCTCCCGGCACCACACCTTGCGCCTACCATCACTGCTCGTCATCTTCCTTAAATTAGACGAACTCTGGTCAAAGTTTCTGAAATCTGATCCTACGAGAAAGGCGCCATTTGGTAGAAGGTGTTGAATTTTAGACTGCTCCTCTCAGGCAAATTCTTTGTGAGTTTCGTCGTCATATTCCTGGGACAGGACAGTGTTGACAATGGCCTCTAGGATAGAGATGCCATCATCTGGTGGATAATGCATACGGGCCCAGTTTTGGTACGGGAAGCAAGTGGTGGACGCCAGATTCTTGCCCTGGGAAAGCGCTTCCACGATTTCGTTCTACTAATTATAAGTTTTTTGAGTTATAAGATTCAATCCTCAGAAACAGCTCCCGTTTCGCTTACAATTTCTGCATGCTGTATTTAGTTAAATGTGGGTAGAGCGTTTGCGGCCAAGTCTTCTAGGTTTCAATTTCAAGGAGGTTGAATTGCGATGTTGCAAAATGCTCTGAAGCCCTCTCCCCAGCATTGCCGAGAATACAATATGTTGACTTCTTCATCATGTAGGAATGTGTATCTACATAGGTGGGAGATCAAGTATTTATTTTTAAAGCCCTTCCAAAGTATTGTTACTAATACAAACGTAAACCTTTGTCAAAGAGGAGGATTCATAACGACATGGATTTTATAGAATTACGCAAAGCACAGCTTCCAGTGAACCAGTTCGATATCAACAAGCACAGCAACAAAAATCAACTTGAGAATTTCCTCGGTTGATCAAACCAATAGTAGGTTACGTTCGATTGATTTGCCCTTAATAGACATAAGTTTCTTTTTATTAGACATTTATTTCGTCGAGTTATTGGCTGTCGTCAGGGATGACAGCTGGGAATCGTTCATCGCAAAGCATGACAACTAGATCGGGTCCGTAGCAATCGCTCATCTTCACGGAAGACAACCCGACCAGCTTCTCGCGATCCGACTGTCGCAGTCGGTGAGTGCAATGCCCGGCTTGCAGCGATTGCTTGTCGCATGGAAGGGTTGCGAGCAATGGGGCTCCTGCCTCCTTTTTACCCCGCCTTCATCTTCGTGATAGCCTCAATTTCCTACGTCTAGGTATTTTAGGTAAGTACATGTCTATAATTATTAAATCAAGCGCAATAAATAGATTTTGGAAGCACTCAATTGAATCTCTATGTGTGTTTGACTTGATATGTTTATCAAGGCAATTGACTTAGTTGGCTGGAGCCCCTGAAACAAAGGCTACATATTAGATGGCTTGGCTTACTCTTATTTAGTTAGCTTAACTATTGTTGAGACTTTAGTGATCAGGTCCTTGTTCGCCGTTTTCTGTGTATCTAAACCCGTGCTTTGGGGAGGGGTATAACTATGGTGATAGATTAGATACAACAATGTTGTAGAAGTTTGAAAAGAGGTGTGGTTATGAGTATCGACTGCGAGGCCCAAAGCTGAGCTGTTCTATATCGGCCCAGCCCTTGTTGGAGCTTTGCGGACATTCATGCCTGTGCCCGCTCAATTAGTGCCAACTTTGCCTGATTTTTCTTTGTACATGTTAGGTTCGGGTGCATGCTGCAGCTCGCGTTGAGAGCTTTGTGTGCCATTGTCACGTGTGTAAATGTAGCCTCATTGTGGGATATAACATCCCTTGCGTCTGGCAAGAAAAAAACCATAGATGATAGTAAATTATAGCCCATTGCAGTACTTTTGATCCAGCAGCGTTTATTTATCTTATTATTTATACCTAAGCTGTGTTAATATCTAAGCTACCGAGGAAGAAAGACAGAAACAGATCGAGCAGTGGAAGGGAAGATCCATAATACGCCGTTGGTGACACCAGCTCGACAAACAGCAGCGTCACAGGGCCACCGCCATTTTTTTTTTTTACCAATATTGAGATAACACGCACGCAGGCAACGGCACGCTGCTTCGGCCAGCGACCTAACATAGGTACTTACCCTGTCTATTACGCTTGGGTTTAGCAATCCAAGTCTCTGCTATATTTAGCTAGGCTACCAAACGCGTTGCTGCGTGGTGACATCAAATATCATCTAGGTGTACCTTATTCCTTCCCAGCTTCCTCCAACATGTATGGGACGAGAGCCAGAGTGCGAGCATTGAAACTCTCTGCTCAGGCATCCGAGCAACCTCAAGGTAAGTTGTTGGCCTCTTCGGAGCTGGGAAGGCCTTGCTAAGTATATGGAACAAACAGAATCTCCCGCCCCGGAACGAACAGATCCAATCGGCGAAAAAGAGGATCTCAATCTGCAGGAAGCTGGCCAAGACCTCAAGGTCGCAGACAAACCCCCCCAAAGAGTATGTTGCCGTTGGCCTTCCGCAGACAGCATGCCTGAAGCTGACTTCTGAAGCTATATTCCCTCTACGAAAACCTGCAGTCGACGTCCCCTGCCTTCCGACAATCATCGCATGGCGAACATCTCCTGAACTGGCTACAATCGATCAAACCATACCGCCTTCGTCGGTGCAGGTCCGACACGAACATCCAACTTTTGCCCGATTTCTACACAAACACTCCGCCCATGTCGACGTTACAAGACAGCACCATTCCCCCACAGGGCCAGGGCACCTTTTGTCATTCGGGAGGGGTTTCCCGCGTGGGTGAACTGGCCTATGCCGCCAAGGTGTACGAAAAGAGGGCTGTTGAGAAACAAGGCTACCGGAACAGTCTTCGAGCAAGCAAGATATTTATGCTCAGAGCCGCAGAAAAGGTGCCAAGTAACATTCAGTCGGTGATGGATCTCATCACCTCTGAATGTGGCCAACCGCCAACCGCAGCAAAGTCAGCATCCGACTCCTACTCCAACGAGTGTGCAAACATGGCCATTAGAGGGGCGAACGAGGAAAGTGTCAGGCGCTTCTTCGATGACTATCTCTTTTCCAAATCCAGCCTTCCCGCCAATGTGCGCCGCAACGAGGGGATGATGAAAAGAGGTGATGCTCCCATCGCCGCCTCTGGGGCGGGGAAGATCAGTACTCCCAATCCGGATCTGCTTCTAGGATACGACGAGGAGAGCTTCCCGCCCCAGCAAGACGGGCGACTGGGTGCTTGGGACGCAAACAATGCAAAATTCTCCTTTCTTTCCGTCGACTATAAGGGGGACGGCAGCGTTTCCACCGGCAGTCTCTGGGTCGCTACAAATCAATGCCTGGTGGCAACCACCACTTGCGTGAATCTCATGATGAAACTACGGGCTGTGGTGCTGGAACGAGGGGATGCCGAGGCGGCCAACAGTCTCGACCAGCATGTCTTCGGCCTCGTTGCAAATGGCACAGAAGCAAGGCTCTTTGTAACGTACGCGGACGCGGACCAAGACGGGCGTAGGCGTACATGCATGAAGCTAATTCGGGGCTTTCTACTATACGATACATCACATCGTGTCGACCTAGAGAGATGTGTCAGGAGGATCTTCAAGTGGGCTGAGGAACGCAAGGGTCGCATCGAGGCTGCTATCGATGTCATCCTGTCTGGAAGCCTGACGGCGGCGAACAAGAGGGGCCACGACGGGAGTGGTCCCGTAACGAAGCGTCAACGGGGAGAATCCACTGATCCTCCAGGCGTTTGAGTGCAGTGACTCTCTTCACTTCATCCCGTCCCCCCTTTTTTGGTCTTTCTGTGTGTCTTTGGTTATTTTATTAGATTTTTTAGGAACGGTGTCTTAATTGGAATACATTTCTTTGTCTTTTTAGATGTGTGTTAGAGGCGGGAGAGAGTAAAGAGACAAAGAGACAAACAAACACCTATGAAGCAACATACTGCATATTATCAATTTGTATCGGTTTGCTGCCATTTTACCCTAGTAATCGTGGAAATTGTCTGCTCATAGCCGTCCGCTGCTGCCCTTTCCACCATTTGCTCATTATGCCGCTGTCCTACACATCCATCACACGCACATTTGGTGCTTCTCCCTAATACTAATATCTATACAACCAAGACGAATTCCCTTGCCGCTGTAGCAACAACAACTTCAACCAATAATCATCTCCCCATCTAGATGGGACCTGCCTGGACGGCGGCAATGATCCGCTCCACCACGGTGGGATCAGACAGGGTCGAGGTGTCGCCCAGCTGGTCCTGCTCCCCGGCCAGGATCTTCCTCAGCACGCGCCTCATGATCTTGCCGGAGCGCGTCTTGGGCAGGTCGTCGACCACGTAGATCCTCCTGGGCGCGGCGAAGGGCCCGATGGTCCTGCGCACCTGCAGGATCAGCTCGTCGCGGATCTCGGGCGTGACGGCGCGGTGGTCCTTGAGCGTCAGGAAGGCGACCGAGGCCTGGCCGGTGATCTCGTCCTGGACGGCGACGACGGCGGCCTCGGCCACGGTGAAGTCCTCGATCAGGGCGGCCTCGATCTCGGCGGTGGAGATGCGGTGGCCGCTGACGTTGATGATGTCGTCCATGCGGCCGCCGATCCAGTAGAACCCGTCCTTGTCGCGGCTGGCTCCGTCGCCGGTGTACTGTGAGCTTGGGTTAGCCGCAAGACCTGGAAGAGAAGGGAAGGGAAGCAGGAGCACGAGATCCTTACGTAGTATCCCTTGAAGGGCCTCAGATAAGTGTCCATATACCTGTCGTGGGCGCCCCAGACGGTGCGGGCCATGCTCGGCCAGGCCTGCTTGAAGGCAAGGACACCCTCCACATTGGCGCCATCAATCTCCTCACCAGTGGCGGCGTCGAGAATGGCCGGCTCGATGCCAAAGAAGGGGAACGAGGCCGCGCCTGGCTTGGTGGGGGTGGCTCCGGCGAGGGGAGCGATTACGTGAGATCCTGTTTCTGTTTGCCAGTATGTCTGCGCCGCGCGGTGAGCCTTTGATGCTTCGATGATGACGAGAATGCAGCCACTTCAGGGCGAGAGAGGGATGACTTACATCAACGATCTGGGCTTGCCCCTTGCCGACCACTTCGAAATACCACTTCCAGACCTCAGGGGCAATTGGCTCACCAACTGATCCAAGTACGCGTAGATGGGCCCGTTCTCCGGTAACATGCTGGTCGCCCGACTTCTTCAGGAGCCGGAGCGCAGTCGGGGCGACATAAAAGTGAGTGACGTCGTGCTTGTCGATGATGTCCCAATACCGAGAAGGATTAGGATACATCGGGCTGCCTTCAAAGATAACCGTCGAAACGCCAAGTAGGAGAGGAGCATATACAACGTAGGTATGCCCCGTGATCCAACCGATATCACCGCCGCAGAAGAAGCTATCGCCGTCATGAATGTCAAACACATATTTGCCGGTAGCAGCAGCACCCACCAGATACCCACCGGTGCTGTGCAGAACACCCTTCGGCTTGCCCGTGGATCCCGAGGTGTAGAGCAAGAACAGGGGATCCTCTGCGTTCATGCGCTCGGGCGCGATGTAGGCCGGCCACTTCTTCACGACGTCCTGCCACCAGTGGTCCCTCCCGGCGATCCACTGCACCTCGGACTCGGTGCGCTTGAACACAAGCACGCCGGTGACGACCGGGCACTCGACGAGGGCCTTGTCGACGATGTGCTTGATGGCGTGGGTCTTGCCGCCTCGCTTGCTCTCGTTGGACGTGAGGACGACCTTGCACTTGGCGTCGTTGATCCTGTCCCGCAGCGAGTCGGAGGAGAAGCCCGCAAAGATGACGGAGTGGACGGCGCCGATGCGGACGCAGGCGAGGAGGGCGATGATGGCCTCGGGCACCATGGGCATGTAGATGGCGACGGTGTCGCCCTTCTTGACGCCCATGTCCTTGAGCACGTACGAGAGCTGGCAGACCTCGCGCAGCAGGTCGTCGTAGGTCAGCACGCGGCCATGCTCGGGCTCGTCGGCCTCGTAGATGAGGGCGACCTTGTCAGGGGTGGCAAAGGCGTGGCGGTCGACGCAGTTGTAGCAGGCGTTGAGCTCACCGCCCAGGAACCAGGAGAGGTCTCCCCTCTCGAGGCTGCCGCGGCGGACGATGTCGAAGTCCCTAGACCAGGTGAGGAGGTCGCGGGCCAGCGATCCCCAGAATTCCTGCGGGTTCTTGATGGACTGCTCATGCAGCCGCTTGTAGTTTTCAAATGCTGAGATGCCATCATCGCCTTCTAGATGGGGCTTGCTGGGGTGCACTGAGAGGTGGGTGAATGGTTAGTTACATCGTGGCCCCTGGAAAAAGCAGTTGGAGAACTGATGATGGGCCGGTGCTTGGCGTTGGAGAAGGTTGCACTCACCAGCAAGCAGACCTGCAGGAACATCTACCGAGGGGCTGTTAACACTTTATGGCACTTTACACCAATGGATGAATTGCAGCGCCGCGATGGAGCTTTGCGCTGTTAGATGACTTACCAAAAGCATCGGCTGGAACTGGCCCAGATCCGTTGGTAAGGGTAGACATTTTGATACCGCCTGCGATGTCTTTGTGAAGGGCTTTGGCAATATGATGAGGGTGGAAGCTGATAATGGATGTTTGGGCGGTCTGGTGGGAGATCAGACTGAGACAATACGCAGCCCTTCAGTTGGGTCAAGGCTGGGTAGAAGGTTATCTTTCCCTTCTGGTGAGGCAATTGAATAAACGCTGCCTATAGGCGTGAAGAAGGAGATGAGAGAAGGCTGATCAAAGGTTCCAGTTGACGGAGGAAGAACAAAGAACAGGGAGATTGGGTGGCCGATCTTACGTTATGCTTAAAATGGCATCGCAGAATTTGATTCCTCAGCGGTCCAGAATCACTGTCAGAGCTCGTAACAGCCCTCCAATGAGCCACCAATGTCAGCTGTTTCCCGTCGCTGATGGGGCTCATTCTCCGACTCAACATGTTTCAATTGGTTGGGGGCAGACGTGTGAATTATGGGACCGGACTCAGGGGACGAAGTTACGAATATCCAATATACACATGTGATTCACTCATGTAGCTATTGCCTCTTGCTTAGCCCGAACTGGGATTGATCCTATGGGCTGGGCGGCTGTAAATCATGAGTGTGTGGCAGATACCAAGCGAAGCACACCACTCACGGACACCTGCCGGAGGCAACCCACCCCTGACGAAGCTGAGGGTACAGAACTCGTGTACCGTAGTTATGGAATAGACCACTCAGGGGCATAATCTCCACTGTCCCAGGGATCTGTTCACCGCAAAATTGATGCAGCCCAACCGTTTTACGGTAGTACCAGCACCCCGATTTCCCATTCACGCGGCCCGCCACGGCGATCATGCTATCCACCGTATCTCGGTCAGCCCACGCCGAGGCCAGTCCTGTTTACCTTGAGTGCATGACCAAGGTCAGGATATTGGATAGAGCCAGGGTGGTTTGATGGTGGCAACGATTCGCATCCATGAAAGGCAGTGGAAGTTCAGATAGAGTGCACGAGCCCGGAATGCAACCGATTTTAAGCTCTCGGATCCCAGTTGGGATCGACCTCGTCCAACAAACTCAAGTCCTTGAATGGGCCGGCTGCAAGGATCTTGTCCAAGCCGATCAGCTTGTAACTCGAGTTGGGGTCAGCTGCTTTGCCGCCAGGCAGCTCGTTGGTATCGTCGTGTACTACCAGCAAGCCATTGGGGAATTCAGATCCGAGGTTGACTCCTACCACAGCCAAGCCGTCCGTGTTTGACACGTGGTCAATTTCACCATCAGCAGAGTCGGTGATGGTGAAGGTCATGACGTAGTCGTGAGGAGCAGCGCGCCTGTAGACATTGTAGGCGCTGACGCCCTGGCACGAGTTGATGATGAAGCCCTCATCCTTGGATTTGCCCTGGGCAAGCGTCACGCCCTCAACGTCGCCGTAAAGGGTTCCATCTCCGACAAAGGCAATCCTGTGACCCTCTTCACTGCCATCCGGCTCCGCATCATAGCGCCAGAGGGCAGAGGGCTCCTCGCCAAGAATCAGCCAGCCGTTGTCTTCATCAGAGACGCAGCCCTCGACTTGCCCGCCTGAGCCACCAACGAATTCACGTACGAGCTCGGTGTGGAGAGTACCGTTTGAAGTCGCCGTGAGTTCGTATTGCATGTAGCGTGCCGATTTCTCGTTCACAAAAAGGTATTGCTTACCCGTCGTCTTGGAGCGGTAGACGCAGGAGCCGTACACTTCGTCCTCGGCATACGAGGGCTGAATACCTCCTGGGATGTCTTTGATTTCACCCTCACTCGTAATTTCGAAAATGCTATCCGTGTATGTTAGCAATCTAGCCTTTGTTTTCGTATGCAGCACGTCCGGAGTTCTTACCAGAGGGTATTATCACCGCGACATGCGGCAAAGGCAAGGTCTACAGTACGATTGCCTGCCTGGAAGTTGTAGATAACATCAACATTGTTCGGCTTGCTAGAGTAGTGCATCTGAAGTTGCTTGCCCTTCAGGTCGAAGACTGCGAGGCCTGCACCGTCCCCGGCCTTTGTAGTTGTGATGATGCGAGATAGCTCGGGGGATTTAGGCGAAATCCAGATGGCAGGGTCGTCGCCATCAGACCCATTAGCCTCAGTCTCATATTCCGGCTCGACGAGCAAGAAGGAGCAGTGCAGACCGCCCCAGCCCTCCTTGCACTCACAGGTATCGGGACCGGTGCACGAGCCATTTCCGGAGCAGTCATCTTCGCACTTGAATTTGCTGCAAGTCTCACCGGTGAATCCTGCAAGACAATCGCAAGCACCATTGGAGGAGAACCCGTTGAAGGAGCATTTCTCGGTTATGGGCGAATGCTTGATGCATCCACCCGGCTTCCGGGGGTTATAATCCACGTTTGGTTCAATGTTCAGGCCCGACAGGGCATTCTCAAGGCTGCTGAGACCGAAACCCAGCACATCCTCTCCCTCAATTGCATATGCGAGGACGCCTTCTGGGTACTTGGACGTGGAGGCTTGGTACAAGCTGATTCCCTGGATCTCGGGCTCCTCCACCCCAGACAGCTCCCAGCTGCCCACCAATGCCCACGGATACTCGTAAACAGAGACAGACTTCTCCAGAGCTACAAGCAAGTAATCTTTGGAGCCCTTCTTGGACACATACACAGTGACGCCAGTTATCTCATCCTCCACCTCCCCGATCACTGAGAGCTCGGGTTTCTTGGTGGACTCTGCCAGATCAAAGGCGTAGAGCTTCTTGCCCCCGTCAGGTGACAAGAACAGTTTCGACTCGGCCTGAGACACAGCGCAGCCGGCCATTTCAGCCGGAATATCAAATGTTTGAACCTATTTGCATGTCAGTAATTGGGATAAGGATCGCCAGGGCGAAGGTGAGATGATTTTTACCCGTAGAACTTGGACTGTATCATCAGCCTCTCTAACGAGGAATTGAATACCCTCGGTTTTTCCAAAGATGAATACATAGTTATTCTTGCTGGGACTCTTCCACGTGCACAAGGCAGACCAGTCTCCGAGTGCAACATAGCCGGCGTCGTCGACTTTAGAGGCGGCAGGCAGCTCGTAGAGGGCTAGTTCGCTGGTAGTCATGGGGATGGACACTAGGTAATCCTTGCCGCCAATGTCGTACAGCGTAGACACCAGCTTTGCCCTCCCCGTGAAGAGGCTCTTTCTCGCCTCGAGGGGCGAATCGCCGTTCAGGTCCCACACGTGGAAACCTCCCGTCGAGGCGCCGCCATCGTTGCCGAGCAGAAGGGGCTCGCCGGCACTGGAGTAGTACGTGGCCGTCCAATCCGACTCGACCTCGCCCGAAGTAAGGGCGCTGACGTTGAGGCTCACCGCCGTGACAAAGCCGGACTGGAAGCCAGCGACTGCTGCCAGTGTAAGGAGAGGCCGCATCATGGAATGAAGTGGAATTCTATGCAGAAGGGACTAACAATAGCTTTGAAACGAAGGGATGCCCTGGAAAGGCAGAAGACTGTTCCACTGCGCCATGGTAATATGGTGGTCTGGTGCGAGGCAGCCGGCTCAAATACTGGAGATTTGCCGTGCTGCGTGCGACCCTCCTGCCGCTCTCGAAGATCGGAGTGCCGCTTGTAAGTTCCCAACCTGCCTATTCGGTCGCCGCCATCCGGAATGATGACGGTTAGGTTACACCCAGAAACAAGAAGGGCTCGAGTTGGATGGGGCGGCCCGGTGTGTGTGACAGCCGCGTGTGGCAATTGAGGAGGGTGATTGGTGTGGGAGCTTCCTGAAATTTCAAAAGGTGGTGTGAGCGTGGATTGTTGAGGGCTTCGGCTGAGCTGCCAGGGGCCGCGGGGCTCTAATTAGCGGAGCTGCGGTGCATAAACGTGCTGAAGCATGTCACTGATTCACTGTAGCGGCCCCGCTGAGGCAGCTCGGCTAGCGGTTGGGCAGTGAATCGGCCTCCATCATTCCAGCGTGCACAGTCCTGGGTTGATACACGTCAATTGGCTCGAGAGTCTCGACGGGCAATTAAGCATAACAATATTGGCCTATGCCACGATTCATCTCCTTCATGCAACTTGCCTCTGAAACCTAGCTCCTGCTTGATTTGTGTTTGCACAATGCTGATCGACCCGATGGCTTGTGAAGTGGGTATGAGAGCCTACAGGTATCTCATGTATTGTTACAGGGGGCAATGTCCAGCGGTACGTCAAACACCGCACCAAGCCTCTAATGTGTAAGAGAGAGATTTGGTATTGCCAATCCATGATAATTTAAGAATGGCAATTATCCCTGTATATATTGTCTGATATTCTGGCTGCTTGTTGCGCTCCATGTGAAGATATGCTGTCGTTAGCGGTGGCTCCACGTGCCCAATTTGCTGTGATCTCCGCCGCCATGTCACTACGTCAAAGAATCTCCATCTTCAAGAGCCGACATGCGTCTTTTTACTTTCACATGCTCATTCCAACAGTCAGTAGCGTCTGGGTGGCATGCGGTTTCGTTCCTCTCTAATCAGCAGGACAGGAGCACCCCAACCAATTTGGTCTCTCCTTCTTCTGTCTGTCTGCGGCAAGGAGGACGGTTCCCTGAGCATGCACACTGATCTTGACAATTTTGAACCCCTGCGTCGCTTTCATTAACAAGATCCGGTTCAACACGTGCGGCACATGTCGATTGACTCACATCAAATCCAACCTTCATCAATCTCAGTCTCCTGGATACCGAGAATTCCCAAGTCCTGGCACCTTCCGGCTCCCCCCCAAGCCATTCCGACACGTGCGTGCTCCAGTGAACGCGAACAGCTACGATCCCGTTCGGAACCGCCGCAGCAGTAAACGCTCTGAAGGTACGGCCCAAGTCGTATGGGGAGAATTCCACGGCGGTCGGCGATTCGTAGCCCATGAGCTGCTCGTCCCCAGACCTATCAGTCATCTTTATTCCCGCTAGATATCGCGAGGCGCCCGATTCCACAAAGTAAAAGGTGAGCCGGCACAAGCTCTTCTTGACCACCGTGTGGAGGCTGTAGAGCTCCCGGCAGCCATGCGAGAAGTGGTACGCGTCTCCGGTCATCATGGCCCTCTCGATTTGCCACTGGATGTGTCCCTTGTGGTTGAACCAGTACCCCTGACTGGCTACCTTAGGCAGAGGGTCGGTGTTCTTCGTCGGCCCCATCTTCAAGTGCAGAATAGAGAGGATGTCCTCCGCCAGCTCCCACACCCTCTTTAGATTCATGAGATCCGGGTGTGTTTTCCCCGGGCGTGTTTGCCGCCACAGCGCCCTCCAGTCTCCAGGCTGCCAGGCTCCGTGCTCCAGCCAGCGCCGGCGTTCCTGCTCGCTGAAGGAGTTGAACAACCAGGAGTGCTGTGAAACGTCGTAGACGCTGAAGACCCAGGCGCGCTCACTCCCCGGGCCGAATCTCGACTTCCAAAAAGTCTGTTCGTGGAGGAGCGGGTAGAATGCCCTGGTCGCCTGGCGCATCTTCAGGACGTCTGCGGTTTCCATCCGTGCCGCGATCATGAGAACCAGCTCTGATGGGAGGCTAGAGAAGGGATCCCGTGCCTCGCTGTTTCTTCTACGATTGGATACGGAGCGGACAGGCCAAGCAGGCGCAGGATTGGGATGACGATTGAAGACCTCGGAAGGGGAGTCGTGTATAGGATCGAGCTGGACAGTGAAACCTCCATGTTCTGGAAATATCCCGGAAAACCTGTAATCCCATTCATCATTAGGGTCGTCGTCGGACCTGGAGAATCCTTGATAGTCATGGCCCCAATTGATGGTATTGCCGAGGATGGGAAGAGAGGAACAGACGTCGAACAGTCTCTGGAGGGGGATGGGCGACGGGCCGTTGGCCATGCTCAGAACACACCAGCAGTGGGCGTGGAAGACGAACCCCCTTCGGTTATTGTAGGCAGGTCCGTTCCCGACTCCAAGAGCGTCGGTGGTTTCGTTGGGCGCGTTCTCGACGTCTGACACAGGGCGTATGTGATAGAAGCGCCCAGGCCGCGGGCCGATGTACTCGCATTCTTCGGTCAGTTTGAGGCCGGTCCTCTCATCGACATACACTAGAGAATCTCAGCAAATTCATCCTTGCCCCTAGATGAAGACGGGGCCAGGTTCAAGATCCGACTGCTCAGCCGGAGTGGTACGCACATGCTCGATACTTGTGTGCCCAAAGTGCCTCGCGGTCTTCGAGGCGTTCTCCCTCGGGACCAACTCGAACACCGCATATCGGGCAGCAATGAAGATCTTGGTATGTGCTGAAGAGACCCGCGTCCATGATTCAGATCCGTGGTTTGTAAATGAACGGCGACGGTGATGATTCTGGCCAGTTGATCATCGCACGTAGCCCAAATGCAAACCCCGCACTGATGTTGCAGCTCTGCCCACGTCTATTGCAATATTCCAATATGCGAGCTCGTCACATCACATATCACATCCTGCTGAACCAATGACAAGCAACTTCGCGGGGCAAACTGAGACATTGAATCAATTCGATATCAAGGCTACAAAACTACCTACGTAAAGCTAAAGAAGTCCAGGTCGTGGTTCCGCTGCGCCGCGTCATTTTCGCCGTTTCCCTTTTCCACCGTCTGCATCAGGCTGTTCATGCTGAGCGGACTCATCCCACCGGCCACATCCTGATCCATCATCGGTGCGCGGCCGTTCTCCTCAATATTCCGCTTCGTCCCGCTGCCCGTGTCCGCATTATTCTGCCCCAGCACCGAGCTCGCACTCAGCCCCGCCGGCCCCAGCGCGAAGTCGTCCATCAGAGCCTCGAACCCGCCGCGAGGCTCGCCGTCCTGGTCGCCAGGCAGCCTCCCCAGCCCCCACATGTCCGACGAGGGCGTCACGAGCGCCATGTCGTCCGGCCGGCCGGCCGCGCACCCCTCCTGGCCGCCCAGGTCCATGTCGATGGCCGAGCCGTCGAGGAAGCTCAGGTCGAAGCTGTGGATGCCGTCCGACGTGCTCCCCAGCGGGAAGGACATGGAGTCGGCGTGCGCGCGGTGCTGCCGCTGGTGGCTCATGTCGCCGCCGCCAAACACGTTCATCTGCTGCTGATGCTGCTGATGCTGATGCTGATGTTGCTGCTGTCGGTAGGATGAGTTGGGTGGCGTGGGCTGCGAGAAGAACGGCGGGGGAGGGCGCGGCAGCTCCGACGCTCGCCTGCTGCCGCCGCCGGGTCTTCGCTTCTTGGCCGGGTTGCCGCCGATGTGCGCGTCGGCAGCCTCTCGACGGGACGGCACGACCGCCGGCGGCGCTGCGAAGTCGCCCGATCCGCTGAGGGGGAACATGCCGTGGCCTCGCATCGCGTTCTGCGGGTCCTCGCCCAGGTTGATGCGGACCTGGTTCAGCACCGCCTTGAGGAGGTGGTCCATGCGGGCGGCGGGGTGGTAGGTGTGGCTCATGTCGCCGAGCGCGTCGCTCAGGATCTCGAGGTATCCCATGTACGTCCGCCGGTCGGCCTCGCTCTTGTGGAAGGCGAGCGCGGCGATGAGCGCGAGGGCCGAGGTGCCGGCGTGCTGGATCCCGGTCACGAAGATCTTGCGGCCGTCGAAGCGCTGCCGGTGCTGCCAGAAGATGCGGGAGACGCGAATGGCCTGCTGCGTGCAGATGCTGCGGGAGAGCGCCGCGCGGCTGTCGTGGACCATCGAGTGCGGGTCGCCCAGGCCGATGGAGTTCTCCTTGTCAATCACCACCGGTGCCGTGCCCGGCTCCCCCATCTGGTCGGTCTCGGGGCTGGGGTGAGATCCGGTGCGTGAGCCCACGCTGGAGCCGTCGCCGGTGTCGTACTTGGCCCACGGCCTGTGCAGGAGGATCATGGACACGTGGTACTGCTGGTGAAGCAGGAAGAAGCTGTAGGGAGCCGTCTTGATGTTGGCGGGCTTCCACGCGAGATGGTCAGGTAAGCGGCGATACCAGTTCTGCAGCTGACGATCGAGGTTGACCACGTGCAGATACGCATTGTCCTCTGCCTCGGTCATTGAAAAGTAGTTGTTTGGGTCGACCTTGTTCCGGAGACCACGGCTGTCGCGTGTCTCTACAATGCGGCCGGCCAGCTCCATCAGTTCGATCAGCTGCTCGTAGATGTCGGTTACCATGTTCTGACCCAGTGACGATGGCAGATACTCGGAGGTGAGGAGGGAGAACTTGTCCGAGAGGAGCTCCATGCTGATGTCCTGGCTCTTGATGCTCGTAGGTCGCCCGAGGAACAAAGCCCAGTACTTGTCGTAGATGACGGCCGCTCGCATCACCATGCGGCGAGTGCAGACTTCCTGCTCTGGCATGCCGTCGGTGCGGCAGTCCAGATGAAGGCCAATGTCAAATGCCAGTCTGTTTGCCATGCCTATTATAACACACCTTGTGTCAGTATGATACTGTCATGTGATAACTCATTGTAGAGTATATTTACTCACCCGAGTACATCCATCCCGTATTATCCCTTCCCACCCCGCACTCAAGATCGCCGAGGAGCAAGAGCGCCTGAACACTCGGGATCCCCCCGGGCCTCTCAAGCTCAATGTCAAGCATGTACTTGGCCTCCCTATGAAGAGTGCTCTCACGGTTCCCCAGCGAGATCTTCTTCATGTCGTCGCGTGTCTGGTCCGATCCTCGGTAGCCCATTGCCAGCACGCAGATGTGAAGGAAGCTGGAGTAATACTTCGGGTGCTGCGAGTCACGGTCCGCTTCAAAAGCCTCGCGATCGATGACCTGGATGACCGAGTTGTAGTATTCCCAGAAGTTGGTCATGAGGTAGTCGTAGGTGGCCGTGCTGAGAGAACGGATGATGCGCTCCGCTCTGCGAACCTGCTCCGGGGGCTCTCGGGAGTCGAACTGGTCCGGTGACTCTGCGTATACGTGACTGTTTGCCGTGGGGCCGAAGAAGCGCAGTCGTCCGGAGAGCTGGTCGAATGAGAGGTTGGCCTTGTTGGATAGCAGACGGTGGACAATGTCCTCTTGCCTGGGGTCCAGCATGCGAAGGGGTGAGCCCTCCATGTGGAACGACGGCGGAGGCATCTGCTGCTGTTGCTGCTGTTGCTGGGTCAAATGGATCTCGTCCACGCTGGCCATTGAATCGGCCATGTCCAGGTCCGGCTTCATGGGCTCGTCATTGCGCGAGTCTGGTGGAGAAGGGACATGCACACTCGGCGAGGCAGCATGGTATGACGATGGCGCTCTTGAGCTCTGGCGATCATCGCCGTCAATAGACCGCTTCTTCTTCTGCTGAGGCTCCGACGATTTACTCTGCTGGTCGTGCTTGGTCTTGGGAGGGTGGGTGGCAGGAGGAGGTTCAACTCCCTTTTCCTGGAGCATGCCCTCGAGCATTGATATCCGGTCAGAGAGCGAGGACATGTAGGCCTTGGAGATTGGTCTGGACAACACGAAGAGTGAGCAGTCTAGATCAGCAATTCAATCATGACCATGAGCTTACCGTCTTCGTTCATCATCATTCTTAATTATACATTCGGTCCCCGATCTACGGCACTGGTTGCACTCTGCCTGACCCTGCGGGACGACACAGCGAATCCGCCTATCGCGACAAGAGGCACAGGCTACTGAGGCGCGATGACGGACCTGCTGGCGTCCGGACTGGCGGGTACTTGCGCTGCTTCCATTGCGTGGGGATGTATTTGCCTGTCCGGCGAGGGTGATGGTCTCACCGTCGTCCCTCGTGTCTTCGGCAGACATGTTATGGGGCATTAATAGGGATACGCCGAGCGAGTGTGTGCCTGGGATTGCCCCCGTGAGTAGGATAAATGAGAAAGGCGTCACTCTAGTTCTGGGAGATTAAGCAAGAAGAGCGCCGGCTGGTAATGGAGATTAAGAGATTTAGACAGCAGAGAACTGCGCAGTAATTGGAGCACACACAACACGTATGGGAGAGGATGAAAATGGGGAAAAGTGTCTTGTCCTCCAAGGCGAGGGAGCTGAAGTTGTCACAGGTGTGGACTGTGGAGTTGGGGGCATGGATGGCCTCCCTCTCCCCCACAGACTTCGCTCCAATTAGCCCCGGGCAATCCGCTACGATCAATTAACAGGAACCCATTGAGACGGTCAGGCAGGCAGGCAAGGCAAGGAAGGCAAGGTAAGGCGCTACGTCCGACAGCGGATCAACTCTCCAGCTAATCAAAGTCATGGGGTTCCAATCCACTGGCGTCCGGGGGCGGGCTCTTTCAGCCCACCGAGACCCAGTTGGCACGACCCGGTGGCACAAGCTCGCGAGGCCAGTGGACCTGGAGGCATCAGAGGAGAGGCCCCATTCCCAATCCATGGGCTGTAGCCTGTGGACTGACCAGAAGATCGAGGGAGTGACCCAAGTATCTCCGGGGGATTCTCCACAGCCAAACCACCCTGAGGCGCGCCAAGACCCGGGGCCCCAGATCGTGTTTGGCTGTGGACGCGTCCGCGAGCAATATCACAGCCTCTGCTATTGTGCTGGTTATCAAAGAGGCGAGGCCGGTGTGGGCTCTGACCAGGGGTATGCCAGAGCACAAGTGCCAGCCCGCGGGCCAGTCAGAGGAGACATGTTGGTGGCATGGGACGTCCTCAACGACGAGAAACCGATTTGCCGGAAATTGCCCCGGCTATTTGTCTGTGGAAATAGGAATTCCGGGTGGGACGAGGTGGGGGAGAAGCTGGGGTAGCAGCACTTGGGTCTTGCTGAAAAGGGGTGGTGGGATGGAGGTGGAGCGACTGTTGGATCAGGACAGGGTGTGAGACAAATAATTGCTGTTGCTAGCGGCCTTGTCAAGCATTAGGGTCGTGGATGGGCCAGAGTGTAAAATCTCTTGGGTTAGAGGCGACTTGGCGATGATGGACTGCAGCAGAGACACCACCTCGATGAGCCGGTGGGAGTGAGGAGGCACGACGTAATCCGCCCTCGAGTGCGTTGGCCACACGCACTATCACTTTCCCCAATCAGAATCTCCTACCTGTGCAGACTGCTGCTCTCACCAGGGTCAGGAGATGGGGGAAGTGACTCTGCTCTCCCCTCGCCCAGGCCTTCCACCCTCTCTCATCGGTCCCAAACCCCGCATTCTGCTTTCTCCCCGGCGTCATGGAGGGCTGACTCCATGAATAGCCCTGGATCAAGACCCCCACAGCTTCTGACTCGTGTTGTATCGGCCCTCCCCACGATCTAGTCTAGATCGAGCGCCCTAGTCGTGAGCTGAGCGTATGCGGTATATCGGACGCACGTTGCAGTGAGGGGGTTAGACTCGGCCCTGGGCTAAACGGTCTAGTCTGACCGGAGGGATGCCGCTCGCTCTCTCTCTGGGA